AAGGATGGTCTCGGCGTAAAACGACATTCGCGACTCAGCAGCCTTGATTCCTTCAGGGCCACCGCCTCACTCTCCTCGGCCGCAAAAGCATATCACAGCAGATCATATAAAGGTCGGTTCCGTTCTGCAAGTGCGAGGAATCCGACCACGCAGCGCTCTCCAATCGCACAGTCACCCACGGTGACAAATTTGGAGGATGGTGGTCTCTCAGCTCTATCGTCCCCCAAGCCTGTGAGTGGGTCGGCGTCTCCTGCTACTGGAACAGCGGCAGCTCCCTGGGCGTCATCAACAAAGGCGCGAAGACTGTTGGGTATCCGAGCAGCATCCGAGGCTGTTACTGGAAATGAAAAGGAAGCCGCCAGTTCTTCAAACATTACGTCCGAGGCATTGAGAGAGAGTCCTACTGCGTCACCTTCTGGCTCACAAACTCCATCGGCGACATCACGTAGCTTCGAAATGGACAACACAGACACTTCTTCAAAAGGCACAGCTGAACAACTGGGCCCCTTATTGCATACGAAGACCCCCCTGCGTACCAATCCAAAGACCAAGCGACAAACGAGCGCCTACACGAGAGGTCTGCTACAAATATCCCCTGCGGAAGCACGGAAGCATTGTGATCATTACGGTTGGATGAAGAAAAGATCCAGCGGCATTGTATCCCAGTGGAAACCCAGACTGTTCATCCTACGAGGCCGGCGGCTGTCGTATTACTACTCAGAGAATGATACAGAGGAAAAAGGGATCATCGATATTTCGGGACACAAGGTCCTTGTAACCACTGCCGATCCCATTACCTCACTTCAAGCTACCATAACGGGAACAAAGCCCACACCTTCCATCAGTGCCCCCGGATCATCGACAGAGACCTCGCCGAATGTGACGAGAAACTCGAGCGGAAGCTCACCCTTCTATTTCAAGCTTGTCCCTCCCAAAGCAGGAGCTTCACGAGCGGTACAATTCACAAAGCCTACCATTCATGTTTTCCAGGTTGACAACATTACCGCGGGACGGAAATGGATGGCTGAGATTCTGAAGGCCACCATCGAACATGATTTGGCAAACTTTGAGACTACAAATCGGCAGAAGACCATCAGCTTGGCCAAAGCCCGGGCAAGAAAGGAACGGCCCCCAGCGCTGAAAGGCACAGAAGACATAGCCGAGTTGGCGGAGAGACCCACCCCGCAGGAAGAGAAGGGTGAGCAAGAAAGTGGCCTGAATATCCAAGGACTGGATTTCAACGCGTCGGACATGAATCTCCAGATAGGCACAGGCCTTACGAGTGGGACAACAGCACGTCCCGAGGATGATGCGGAACGGGAAATAAAGACATGATGACACACGAGAAGGGATTTATTTATCTTATCCTGCGTATAATATATTTGTCCTGGAATACGTAATGTCTGTTTGTGTGCACTCTAGGCTGTGATTGAAGCGATCGCATTACCTTGTTGCCTTGGTAGCTCTTGTGCAAGGTCAAGAGCTGTCAGTGGTCAGCCTGATATGTGCAAGGCTGACCAACCAGATGTCGTATCTTGCGGGAGCCGCGTTGCGTTGCGCTGCCCTGCGCTTTACAACCGCCTCGCGCGTTTCCAACTCAAGTCGCGGTTGAGGGGAGAGAGACTCTCTTTCTCTCTCTCTTTCTTTCACGCGCGACAACGAACTCAAGCTTCTTAGTATTTCTCTGTTCTGTATTTGTGTTTTGGTTCTGCTCTTCAGGTCTTGTTTCCATCTGGCTTCGATGTACATATATGGACTTGCAGACAAGTTGCTGCGCCTTCTGACCCCAATTGCCATCTGCTTGACCACCTATCTCTACCTCTATCCGATTTTCCACGGTTGTGCTTTTCCGTCGAGAGATCTCTCCTCTATCACCGCGCTCACTGAGACCCTCAACCAACATTGGTCACCTTGGCCCGACCTCGACGCGCACTCCAACCATCCACATATCCCTTTCCGACTGCTGGCTCTCGCTGATCCGCAGCTTGAAGGGGACAGCTCCCTTCCCAGGCCCGAGGATGGGTTGATACCTAGGCTAAGGCAGCATTGGGCGCAACTATCCACTGAAGAACCACAATATTGGCTGTCCTCTGCGCATGAGATTGTGCAGGAAGTCGTTTTCCAAAACCTCCCTGATGCACTGCAAGCCCTCCGAAAACGACTTGATCTATTTGGAAACGACTACTATTTGGGCCACATATATAGAACACTTCATTGGTGGACAAAGCCTACGCACGTTGCCGTGCTTGGAGACCTCATCGGCAGCCAATGGGTCACGGATGAAGAATTCGCGTGGAGAGGGTGGAGGTTTTGGAATAGAGTCTTTGCTGGTGCGCGTAAGGTGGAAGACGATGTCACGAGCCTGTACAGCCAAGAGCAAGGAGCCATTTTCGAGATGGATGATGACAATTGGAAGCGCCGAATCATCAATATCGCTGGCAATCACGACATTGGATATGCCGGGGACATTTCTCGACAGAGGATGGATCGGTTCGAAAAGGTCTTTGGGAGGGCCAACTGGGACGTCAGGTTCCGATATCCCCATCAAAACAGCCCGAATACTTCGATCGAGACCGATACCCGGCCATCGTTGCACCTGATTGTCTTAAACAGTCTCGTGCTAGACTCCCCTGCCCTATCAGAGGAAGTTCAGGCCGAAACGTTTGGGTATCTGAACGACCTGATCTCTCATCGTCTGCGCCCTGTTGAAGATAGCTCGTCTTTCACACTTCTGCTGACACACCTACCACTTCACAAGAAAGAAGGAGTCTGCGTCGATTCCCCCTTTTTTGACTACTGGGGTGATGACGATGGCGGTGGAGTCTATAAACCCCACGGAGTGAGAGAACAAAATCACTTAAGCGAACAGACGAGTCACAGAGGTACTTTGCAGGCGTTGTTCGGCATGAGCGGCGATATCGGAGTGCCTGCTCAAGGCAAAGGTCGAAAGGGTCTCATTCTGACTGGCCACGACCATGAGGGCTGTGATGTCTGGCATTTCATCCCCTCTGGATCGACCATGACCACATCAGCAGATGGCACCGGAGAAAATCTGCAAACCTCGTGGGACAGCTGCAAATGGCGGGACGCAAATCACCGCAATGCACATACAGGAATTCGAGAAATCACACTCCGCAGCATGATGGGGGATTACGGGGGCAATGCAGGACTTCTCAGTGCTTGGTTCGAAGACGATATAGGTGAATGGAGGTACCACATTGAAATGTGCGGTCTGAATATCAAGCTCTGGTGGGCGGTCCATGTCGTTGACTTGGTGGTTTTGTGCCTTCTTGGTGTTGGCCTGTGCCATCGTTTACAACGTATTGTCAGGACACCTTCAGCAGAAAGACCAGTTGTCTCAGAATCAAAGTCCAAAAAAGCACTCCGATGAACGACATTGCGCTGCTTTGTACTCGGCAACCTCCCTGTCCCCGAAGTCACAAAGAACGAGTGATCCCTTTGGCAAATCTGTATGCTTCAACCACAAGAGCTACTGCAGGATCGCTGGCCGAAGTGAACCAAAGTTTTCTCATCAAATCGGAAGAGGCATATCGAAGATAGCCTCCCCTTCCCGGTTCTACACGACATGGTCGTCCACAATGACAAGTCGTCGAGGAATATTGAGGTGGACAATTCCCTACTATGGATGGACAGGTAGATGGCGTGGATGTGAATACCTCCCGGCATCGTCAATTCTGGTATTCGGCAGGGGTCCTCATGCAGAGACAGACTAGTCTCAACTGGCGCACGAACTCGTCTGAACTTCCAGATGCACGTGTATATACATCACGTCGGAATATATTCGCTGTCAACAGAGCCGACTGTTTTCATGTCTAAAGCCTGCTGGAACTCGATTTCCTGAAACGACTACCACTAAGGCGATCACTTCCAACTGTCCTAAGGAGGCAAATCGGCCACACACAGAGTGTCGATGCTGTTCATGGCGGCAGTCCCTCGGTGGTGTGGGAAACAATACGAATAGGATCATTTGAGCTGGAAATGCTATATCACCAAGAGCCACAGACGGACAGGACGATTGGGGGAGCACGAATTGAGTTCAGGACAACAAGAGTTTTACAAGAATGAACGAAGCATTTGGTCTCGATCACACTTTGTCAACACTCTCAAGGTCATCGACGGGCTCAATGATCGTGTCCATCAACCCATCGAACAGCAAGTGCAGTGATACAGAGATACTTGAGTGAGAAATGATTGAGGTATAAATTCACACCACTTGCCAGCATGGTGACACCCTGTTGAATCTACACTGATGGTCTGTGAATGGACCTGATCAAATCATCTCCTTATGGATACCTCATCCACACACACACACACACACACACACACACACACACACACACACACACACACACACACACTTTTCTTCCCTTCCCTTCCTTGTCTACCCTCCATCACTTAAATTGAGCTGCGACTGAACAAGATGGTGTTCTTGATTGTTTTCAAAACTGCACTTCCTCGCCCACTCTCCTTCCAATGGGGTCATGATATCTATGAGGCCTGTCCGGCTTGTGTCCGTGCTCACGAGCTCAGAACCTGCGATGGCGAGACCAGAGTCACCTTTGAGATTTGTCAGAAGCACAAAGACATGTAAGTTCAAAGTGTCTCCGGAGTGGAGGTGTATGATGCCCTGAGATTCCCCCTCGTCCATGCGCTTATCATTCTGTCTTTGTGCTTGTTTATTCGGCAATGTTTGAGTTGGTCCCTTATGACGGTGAGACTGACACCAGGATCGTCTTGACGGGACTCAGAGCATGGCATTTACCTGCTCAGTCCTGCCACTGATGAGCCTGTGGCCGTCAACCCATGGTGAACGTGGGTTGTGGTGAAGATCGGCATGAATCTCTCTGAAGCCCATTCAGACGCCTTGCAAGATCGACTGTTCAATCCCTTGGCTTTGAAGCCATAGACACAACTTCTAGCTGACGTCTCGCACTATTGTGAAACTCGATACCCATGACCTGTCCCTCCCTTTCCTTGCAATGGATACAAGAGTCAAGTAAGAGTGAGAGAGAGGAGCTAATCTTTGTGGTTGCGAGTCCAGAACCGAATCCACCGCATTAGATGAAGCCGTTCTGAAAGAGCTCCGTACACTGGTCCACCCGTTGTACTCGCCTGTGCCGACGTTCCCCACAGTCACGAGCACAATCACAGTGAAGTCAAGGGAAGACCTGCGCAAGGAGGTCAAGGTAACCACGGTGACCGAGAACACCACAGATACCCAGCGAAGTCCCAGAAAGAGAGGGCATACCACAGGGGCTGGCAGGAAGCGTCACATTCCAGGCGAGAGTGCTTCGAGCAGGGTACGTGAGTTGGATCTGCCGCGGCCCGAAATCACATATGCGCACGGCGGCGGCTGCATCTACTCGGAGGAGCCGGACGTGGTGTTCAAGCCGAGGACGGCGGTGGTCGAGACGGACCAGCACGCGCGAGAGAGGCTGAGGAACATCGTCGCCCTGCTAGACAGCGGCATCAGTTGCAATTTGGGACCCGAGCTCGACATCGACCCGGACGCGGACGTGCATGCTCTGTTCGGCGAGGACACAGTTCTCGATCTGGGCAGGTACCAATCCACTTCCACTCTGCCGCCCAGCGACTTCACGGACGGTCAGCCAACTACCCCATCGGCTCTTGTGCGACGCATGATCAATGCCGCTGCCCACGACGAGGCCCGCGCCATCCTCTCCGCCGAGAAGGAGCGCTTGGAGGAATGTCTCGCCACGAGCTCCTTAGCCAAGGGGCTGTACTTCAAGCGATGCAATGGGCAGTGGGTCAATGCGGTGGGCGATGTGCTTGTGGTCGATGGTCGTGACGAGGCCGAGGGCAAGGGCAACGGTCACAACCACAGCCCCGGAGGTGAAGAGCCTGGAAACAACAGACGACAAGACCTCGCGGGCGACGAGGCTGGGGGTTGTGGCAAGGTGAAGGGGAAGAAAGAAAAAGAGAAAGAGGGCGCAGCAGTGTCCAAGGATGGCCAGCTCGGAGGTGCTCATGATACGGGCCCTGCCTTTCCCCTTCAAGCGGCCCGTGATGAGGAAGAACTTGACACAACCTCGCCACCACTCTCCAGGATTTTTACGCCGAGCATGACACCCAGCAGCAGCACAGCATCCGCGAGTGTCTCCTCCCGGTCCAATGGGAGCCCAGGTTCATCCTCACGCAGCAGCGGCGGCGGTGACAGCGACACCGGCGATGACGGCGACATCAGTCCGTTGAAAGCTACAGCCTGTGCTACAAACGATGGCGTGGAAGAACCCAGGACCACCGACTCAGCCACGTCGTCTGGATATAGCTATGGCTACGGCTATGGCTATGGCTATGCTGTCCCCCTCGGCCGCCCGCGCGATGATACCACCACACCGGATCCCATTCTCCCAAGCGCCCGCGCCTTGCTTTCGTCTTGTTCGTCGTCTCGTATACGCTCATCCTCACCCCCCGCCTCCGCTGGGTTTCAGACCTGTTTGGCCCATCCTCACAACACCCCGTCCACCCCATCGTTCGGATACGACATGCTCCAAAGTCGCGAACAGCTCGTCCGCGCCGGCCAATGCACCGACGAGGACCTCTGCATAACTAGCTGGGGGTATAACCGCTTGTTCAAGGGCGCGCGCACAGCCTGAACGGAGATACATGAGGAGCCGGCATAGCCCGTACGGCGCGAATACAAAGTCACTGAAAAGGCGATGGAGGGCGCGGGATTGCGGGATTGAGTGATGCTGAGAAAGGAAGACCTTGGGGGTTAGGTGATGATGACGGTCCTGGAGACGAAGGCGGAGTGGACGCGTGGAAGAGCAAAAAGAAAAGAAAGAAAAGGAGAAAACAGCACGAGTCACAAGTCACAAACACCGTGACCCATCGATCCAATGGAAGTTGCTACAGAGAGCGTATTTCTCGGTCGGGGGGTTGTGGATTTCCATAGTTTTTTTTTGGGCCGCATTCACTTTTGAAGGCTCTGGCTCGACACTTTGTCACTATCTATATCAGCCAATCCAATATCATCGAGCGCACAGAACTTTTCCAGCTACAGATTCTTTTACAGTCAATGGGCGTGAACCGCGACAATGCCAGTGACCATCTTGCCCAAGACCATCGCCTCGTACCAAAATCAGATACTGCAGCTAGACAACTAGAACGAGCAGACAATATCGAACCAGTGAGAACAAAACCCACAATGTTACGCATATGGAGAAACAATGATCCGATCACATATTGTTATTCTTCTCCTGTGTCCTTGGGTCTAAAAAAAGTACCTAAAGCACCTACTCTTCCATCGGAGGATTGTTGGTAGTCGCACAGCCGCCGCAGATTCTCTTGTCTGCCATAGTCCATCTGCAAAAAGGCCGTCGGTGATAAAGGGATGGTGATATCAGTGGGAGGATGATAAGTGGGAAAGATTGTAGCAAGTGATGCTGCCGCCCAGCCCTTCCTTGTTGTCTGCTCGCGGGATATCTTTGCCAACGGACATCGTGGCCAGTAATTGCCATGTTCCCTCTAGTCAGCCTTCTCTGCGCTGGCCTCCGCAGCAGGCGCCGCCTCGGACTCCTTGGGGGCTTCGCTTGACTGAGCAGCTGGTGCCTCCTGGGGCTCGGCCTCGGAAGAGGTCCAGAGAGTCTAAAACCGTGTTAGTGGGAGAAAGGGATGGTTTCCGGGTGTCCTAGTGACTCACCAAGTTGTCTCTCAACAGTTGCATGATCAACGTGGAATCCTTGTAGCTCTCTTCGCTCAGGGTGTCGAGTTCAGCGATAGCATCGTCGAATGCCTGCTTGGCGAGGTGGCAGGCTTGGTCGGGGGAGTTCAAGATCTCGTAGTAGAAGACAGAGAAGTTCAGGGCAAGACCCAGTCGGATGGGGTGAGTGGGCGCAAGGTCAGTCTGGGCGACTTCGGTAGCAGCCTTGTAGGCCTCGAGAGACTTGTCCGCGGATTCCTTTCGCTTTTCGGCAGTAGCGAATTCAGCAAGGTAGCGGTGGTAGTCGCCCTTCCTATTCAACAGGTCAGACTTGCTACAGCCAATAGGGAAACGTCGGCTTACATCTTGTGATAGAATACCTTGGATTCACCGGTTTGAGCAGATGGAATCAGGTGCTTGTCGAGGACATCAAGGATATCTTCACAGATCTTGGAGAGTTCCTTCTCGATGTTTTGGCGGTATTCCTTGATCAGTTTGACCTGGGCTTCGTTGCCTTTCGATTCCTCCTTTTGTTCGATGGAGGTCACGATTCTCCACGAAGCACGCCGAGCACCAATGACGTTCTTGTAGGCAACGGATAGGAGATTTCGCTCCTCGACGGAGAGCTCTTGGTCTGCAGAGGCAACGACCTTCATGTTCTCAACCATCTCTGCTCCAGGCATTAGCTGAGGACAGACTAGAGTGGGGAAGGATAACATTACCCTCATATCGCTCCGCTTGCTCCGCAAGCTTTGCTAAGTAGACTGACTCCTCTACACCCATTTTTGATGTTCGACACAACGAAGTGATTCAAAAAGGAAAGGAGACCTGCGGATGGTTGGTTGATTAGCGAAGTCATCCGACACAAACAAATGCGTAAACATCAATCAGTAGCCCGGGACGGTGATAAGGAGAGGAACAAGGGGTGATTTTTGATGTTGCGATTAGAGATAATGGACAAAAGACAAATTCCTTCTGTTTCCGCCGCCATCGAAGCTGTGCAAAACTGAGATGGTGGATGGACAATTCAGGAGCGGAAATTGACGTCAATGAGGCCATTCTGTTGGGATCGCATGCGGACAACGCGGTCAAAGGGTGAGGGACATGCATCAAGACACTCGCGCGAAGCCAGGGCACGCCCCTACATCCATCTGAAGCTCGAGCGACCAGAGGCGCAGTTGAAGGTAGTCCCGTGCAAGTGCTAGAAGACGTGGGGTACGTGTGTAGACCGCTGGAGAAGGAGGTGACGATGCTGGGGGTGGCAGCTTACCCTTGGAAGAAAATAGTGAGGTCGATGGAATTCGCACAGGTCACGACTTGAGAGATCGAGCAAGATTGCAGGTGATCCGAGAGGCAGAGAGAGAGGGTGGTGGTGATTGCAAAAAGGTGTTGTTGGTATGGAAGAAAGAAAGAGACGAAGGAGAGTGTGCGCAAGCCTGCAGGTGTCGCCTACAGTTAGTGAAAAAGGTAGCCGCAGGGAGTGGGAGGAACAGGGTGGGAGGCACTACTTGGGAACTGGGCTGGCGACTGGAGAATGGGCAGGCCCCAAACAGGGCGTCAGGAGCGAAGGGGAAGGGAACCCAGGAGAGAATCACAAGCCAGAGGCTTGGCCCCGATTAAGGTGCAGGGGCCACACCAAGGCCCATCAGCCATCTGGGCCACTGCCTGGTGCTGCTGCCACTGACATAACATGCCGCTGCTTGATTCTCCTGCATTCAAATTTCCTTCCCAGCCTCACTTGTTTCATCGACACGCATTGACAGTTCGGATGGAGATTTGATTGCCTGACACAAATCCGCGCATTTCAAGTGCTTGAACTTTGTCTCTCGAGGTGGCTTCCCCCTGTCGCATGCCCTTGAACTGCTAATAAGCCCCCTTTGCCGCTTTTACGGTGTTCTTCGGACACTGATGAAAATCACGTGCCTATTGCTGCCATCGGCTGGAAACTTCGCTCCTCCGTAGGGCTCAGCGCTCAACCATACGGTGAGGTACTACTCTGGTCGGCTTCTCCGTGCTATCCTCGTCATTTTGTCATTTTGCTCCACAGCTGCTAGCCCGTCATCTACCAAGCAGAGGGCGAGCTCCTCAAATCAAGCCCGCACCTGGACATCAACTGCTACTTCCTACATCTAGCAACCGTACTCCCTCAATCAATCTGATCCTCAATCCACCCCTGCCATCCGTGAAAATGCTACGAACACAAGCCGTAAAGCTCGCAAGAGGCTCTGCGGCTCCCTCAATCCGTCGGTCGTTCTCCATCACTGCCATGCGAGCTTCCGAAGGAGATACTGGTGGACTCAGATCTGGTGGATCTGCTGCTGGGTACGTTATTGTTCTTGTTTTTCTACTTGATCTCTGAGTTCTGAGTTCCTCGGTCTCTTGGGGCGGCAGACGTGCAAACACGAAACCATCAGCACCCCTGCTAACACCTTGTTTAATGTAAAACAGTGATGCCTTCACCAGACGCGAGCAAGCCAGCGAAACCAAGTTCATCCGAGAAAAAGAGATGGAGAGGTACGTGCTGACATTCAACATCAATACCAATGAGGGGAACTGAGATATAGTGACTAACCTATGGCTCCATTTGGAATAACAGCTTGAGAAAATTGAAGGAGAAACTCGCTCAACAGCGGAAGCATCTCGACGAACTGGATGAGCATATTCAAGAGCTGGAGCGGGACGCTGGTGGTGAAGATCCTCAACATACCAAGGGCAACTAAATGTATTCGGCATCTTTGTCCTCTAAATTGACATTGGGCGCTCAGCACACCTGAACAGAGGGCGACGACGATGCTGGGAAAGAAGGTCTGGAGGATGGCGCCAAAACACAGGGCAATGGAACTACTATTTGGTAGCCCAAAGGACAAGCATGAATCTACGGCTGTACAGAAGTTCGGCTGCCGGTCTGGCAATATCATATGTCTTCACTCCCACATTGATCGAGAGTCCACTTTCCCTGTTCGAACTCGTGAATATCTGATCGGTCTAGTCTTACAAAACTTCCCAGTTTTTTGGCCGAGGTGTCCGTCACCCCATTCCCTTGAATCTCAAAGTACCAAAAGCACCTTTCATTGGAGAATGCCACCTGATTTGCTGGCAGAGACACTGATTAAACCCATTTCCATCTCATGATCTCCTCCCCATATAACTCCGATAGAAATCCTGGACGGCTGCACCAGTGTTGCTTCCATCGGTTGTCGAAGATGACTTGTAGCCAGTCAAATAACCCAGTTGGCCTGCCGCCTTTTGTGCCCCTGCAACTTTCTCTTGTAAAACCAGAGTCCCTTGGTCGATAGCTTGGAGCTGTATCAGGTGCGAATTGAGGATCTTGACGATCTGTGTGATCTGCCACAGCCTTGTTAGCTCTAGCGCTCCACAAAATCGATATTGGAGGTCAGTTCTGCTTACTGGTTCATCCCCCTTTCCGCTCCTGCTCAGGCTCGCATTTGCCGCATTGACTTCATCGACCATACTTCCCAGATCTCTCTCCATCTCCTCTAGTCTCTCCCCCAACTTCTCCGCAAGTTTGTACGTCCTCTCCCTCTCTTGGTCCGGTCCGCCCATCTCACTCGGAGTAGAAGAATCTTTGGCAAGCATCTCATCCACATCGCTCTCGTATTTACTTAACCAAGACTCCAACTCCGCTTGTGAGTTCTCAACAGCGGCAAGTTGCATGTCCACACTCATAGTCTGTCGTTCGCATGTTCGAGCGCGCACATACAGTTTATCGATCTTCGATGAGTTGTCAACGATCAGTTGATCCCACCGCGCTATGGTCTCTGCGTGGTCCTTGAACTCTTTTGAATAACGGGACATGTCAGTTGCCCAGCGGGTAAGGATCTCGTCCATGGTTTTATTGCGAAGACGGGACTGAGCTGGCGGGATTGGACCCGTTGTTGATGTCTGGCCGCCAATAGTGCCTTGAAATGGGTTCGGCGCAGTGGTGGTCCCAGCTGTCGGAGCAGACGTCGTTGTAGCGGCAGCAGCTTGTGAAGTTGCTGGTGCTGCCGGTTTGGGAAACGAGAAAGCGCTAGGTGCAGGGGCCGATGTAGTAGCAGGCTGTGTTGTCGCCGTCGCTGTCGCCGGCTTGCCAAAGAAAGGGCTTGCCGCGGGGGCAGAAGTGCTGGCAGGCTGAGATGTCGTCGCGGTAGCTGGAGCCCCAAAAGAAAACAGGTTTGTGGTAGTTGCGGGTGCAGTCGTGGTGGCTGAAGTGGTTACTGGGGCCGAGCTGGGAGTTCCACCAAGGTTGAACCCTGGGAAGAGAGGCTTCGAGGCAGGAGCAGGCGTGGCTGCGCCTGAAGCCTGTGTTGCAGAAGGCTGCCCGAATGATGGAAAAGTCGGCTTAGCGGCTGGCCCAGAAGCGTCCGTAGCTGCTGGTTTCCCGAAAAGACTTTGTGTGGTGCCTGAAATGGGAGCAGCAGGGAGTTGCGAGGTTGCCGGTGCTGAAGCATTCGTTGCGTTTGAGGTAGGCTGGCCAAGCGAAAAGCCCTTCTGTTCGGGAGCAGAAGCAGCAGTCAATGACGGGGTTACGGCGGACGTGGACGCAGCTGGTTTTGGGAAAGAAAACCCGCCAGATAGACCACCAAAGAGGTTTGTGGAAGTTGACGGGGCCGCCGTGGTAGGGTTCCCAAGCGAAAGTGTAGGCTTGGACGCATCTTCGGTTGGCTTTGCGCCAAAAATGCCCGGGCCTGCACCAGCACCGCCTGTACTTGCGCCAAAGGCTGAGCTGGCCGGAGGAGGTCCAGCTGGAGTGGTCGAAGTCGTCCCGAGACCGAATGACTTGTTGGTAGCAGGGGTTGTAGAGCCAAACAAAGATGGGCCGGATGTTGCTGGCGTAGATGACTTGTCTGGCGTACCAAACCCTCCAAATCCTCCAAAGGCTGGCTTGGTAGTATCACTGCTGTCCGTCTTCGACCCGAAGATGTTCTTGGGCGCAGAATTGGGCAAACCGCCACTCTGCTGTCCGAAGGGGTTGAAGGAAGCAGGCTTGTTATCTTTTGCACCACCAGTGGCCAAAAACCCTTGCTGCTGAGTAGATGTTGTAGGCGCGGTAGTTGGTGAGTTGAACCCGCCAAAACTGAAAGACCCCGTGTTTGCTGTCGATGTTGGCGCACTTCCAAAGAGACCCCCTCCCGATGATGCTTGTGTATTAGAAGTTGCAAATGGCGACTGCCCACTTCCACCGCTTGTAGAAGGCGGGTTAAAATTGAAAGCCATCTTCGCGAGACGAGGAAAGGGATTTCCAAAGTATGAGCTCTGAGGATTCTAAGGCGAGGGCATTGCAGGAGATCAAGCGTGGAACGGTGGAGGAGGCACTGGGCGTAGATCAGAGCAGATGAATTGTTTTGTGAATGCTCAAAGATTGGTGTTGGTGTCGGCAGAAGGCAGAAGGGTGCAGTTGGCGAGGTATGAACAGGACGCGCCTAGGCGCGGAGCAAAAAGTTGGTGTAGACGCAGTGGTTCGCGGAGTTGGTGCCCAAAATGGAAACCGACGCCAATGCTGGCTGGCCAGCCTGCGCCTTGAACCAACTGCATGCCTTTTCACTCTGACCATTCCACCCTTTCCACCTCTACCTTCTTCTCACCCAGCCTTCTGTTCCGTGGAATCTGACGTTGAAATCGAGAGATAGGGAGATACTTTGTCCAGACACAAGGATGTCCAGACCATCATCGTCGAGAGATAGTCTGCACCTTGAGCCTCCAAGGAAGAGTGTCGAGTTAGAGGATCCCGGCGCTCATGAGTGTATGACAACCTCCTGATTTCTGATTCACGCCACTCCAAGCACTAATATCGACCACAGTATCGTCAGAAGGTGAAGATGAACACTTCTCGGATGCCTCAGAAGGCCAGAAAAGACCCTCTCGGCCAGTAACTCCTGCATCTCCGATTCCGAAGACACGCATTGAGAAGGTCGACGACGAGCCACGATATGGCGAAGTCCCCGGCACGCCTGCGTACGAGAAACGGGTCCTTGATGCTGTACCTGATGAGGTCGAGATTGTCCAAGAAGGTCGCCTCAGTAAACGCTCTTCTCAACTGCTGGAACCACCCACCACTCCTGGTGGTACCCTCATACCTCGGACTGTGGTCGAGCTTCTAGACCCAGAGTCTCCCAGTTACGGCGAAGTTCCAAAGACTTCGGCCTACATACAGAGGCAGATGGATGCAGTTCCCGACGTCATTTTGAAGAATCCCGAGCCTGGGAGGTTACACCATTACACCGATGAGGAGGGAGGAGAAGGAGAAGGATCTTCGTCTTCTCCCAATGTTCCAGTGCCGGCAACTATCGTTACCCGAGTCGATAGTTTTCCCGCCCATGGCGAAGTTCCAGGCACAGAAGCCCATAAAAAGCGAACGCTTGATGCCTCTCCAGATATCACCGAGAAGAAGGGCTACGGAGCAGGTAAATCCAGTGAATGAACCAGCCTTTTAGGAGGACCATTGACCTGATTCAGGGTCACCCATCATCAACAGATCTTTGAACGCCACAAGACGGAGGTCCACTTTACACGACGACGACGACGACGATGACGACGATGATGGCAACGACCGTAATGACAACGACTTCGGAGACGATTTTGATGATTTTGAAGAAGGCGCACAAGCTGGGGCAGAGGATGAGTTTGGGGACTTTGACGATGGCTTTGAAGAACCCGAAACTATCGAGTCGCCACCTCTTGTATCTACTTCACAATCAAGTTCTATACCAGCCACTGCATTCGTGAGTTTCCCATCTTCGTTCCTGCCCTCTAATGCGCTGATAGACCTTTCAACTACAGCCCCTGGTCGAGTCCGTTGCGCTCTCATCCATGCCAGATTTCCTCACTGCCGCACAAATGCACTTAAATGCCATGTTCCCTGCCTCTACGACTGACTACTCTTCTCGAATTCCACCGCAACAACCGCTATCAGATTTCTCACCTATCTTCCCCTCGGAGCGTTCACGCTCACTCTGGAAGCAACTCATCACACCACCCCCTCTCCAACCACCCAACTGGACGCAATCACGAATCCGGCGACTATTCCTAGTCAGTCTTGGGGTACCAGTTGACCTGGATGAAATTCTACCGCCAAGCAAGCAGAAGAAGCTTGTTTTACCAGACATCAATTTAGAACCCTCGTCACGCAGATCGGAAGGGGATAAGGCAACAGGATCTCTAGCACGTCTCAAGGCGCAAGCTGGGGCAAATGACTCGTCTGCCTCGATCGACAGCTCACAATCAGGTGCCGCCAAAGAAGGCCAAAGAGTACCTCGCTCAAGGAAACCAAAAGGACCCCCACCGCCGCCTGAGCTAGACCTAGCAGCCGTTCGACGCCTCTGCGCCACCACCGAAGAAAAGCTTGAAGGCTTAACTGACGAAGAGTTACGGAGCCACGTGGAGGAATTAAATGAGCTGACAGCAAGGACAAGTGAAGTCTTGGAGTACTGGTTAAAACGAAGGGATGGGTTGGTAAAGGAAAAGGAAGCATTTGAAGGTGTCATCGAGAATCTGGTCAGGCATGCCAGGAGGGTGAGGAAATAACCCTTCTTCTACACAGTACAAAGGTGTATAACATGTCCAATAAAATACACTATCTTCGAGCGGAGAGCTCTTGTCTAGGAAAAGCGAAGTATCGAGGAGATCCTGTGCTGGCAGCTTGAACACGCACTCACATTCTCGAATCAAGGTCGGAAAAGAGGCTGTCCCAGCTTGGCATCCCCATCTTGGGACCCAACTCGACGTACTCCTTCCAGATCTCGTCGAAGTCGGACAGGTAGTGCTGACTGATGTCTTCAGAGCCCCAGGTGCTATTATAGGATGGCGGGGCTTGTTGTCCACCAGGATCCAGAGGTATTGGAGGCTGAACAGGCTGCTGGGCCGACGGCTCACTGGCAGCACGAGGCGCAGGGAGGTCCGACGCCTGCAAGTGAACCTTGTGCTTTCTGAGCACGTCCAGGAGGGATTCGAGAAACTCGTGCGCCATCGCCGACTGAGATTTGGCCTCTTCCAGCATCCGGCATGCTTCCGCGACCTCGGCCTTGCGGGCGGCGTCGTCTTCCCCTTCGGCGGCCTCGTTGAAACACAGGTCCATTACCAGAACAATGGTCGCCATGAAGATGTGGTAGACGACACCGGTATTCTTCGCGACGACGGCCATAAAACTGCCCGGTTCATCCGGACGAATGAGTGTCTTCATCCGAATGACCGCACGGGCCGACTTCAGCGATATGTGCCGAGAGTAGTCATAATGGCGCTGCACGGCGCGGCGGATGAGAAAGGGCTGATGAAGCTTACACCGTCTGGTATGTCCGATCATGCCCAATGTGAGACGCTGTACTTGCATCCGGGGGTATCGACGCATGACCGGTTCACTTTCTCGAATATGGTATTCGTCGATTTTGAAGAATGAGGGTAACTCCTGAAAGAACGACTCGAATTTACCGTCAAGTCTGACGACATCCTGATAGTCGACTGTCCCCAGCGCTAGGCTGGACAGCGGCATCAAGTCGACGACGCTGCGGCAGATGTCGGCGAGTTTGATCCTCTGGATATAGTATGACATGATGGTCGGCTCCGACAAGGGTTTGTCAATGGGAACAGTGCCATCTCGCAGATCCTCGTCGTTGACGTTCATCGGCTTATTCACGCAAATATGTCGCGGCTGAACGAAGTATGTCCCTTCTTGAGGACCTCCACTGAGACTGAGAAACCTTCAAGACACGTGTGAGCAGTTTGAGGGAGGGAATGAGCTCGAGAAGCAGGTACATACCAATCGGTTGCCACGACATGCCACCAGACCCTTCGTCTTATCTCGGTCTCCAATACGGTCCGTTGGCTCCCAGCGCTGCCCGGTGCATCGGTCTTGTGCATCGAGAGATCGCGTGCCATTATGACGGCACCGGCGAACAAATGACGGGCTCTAGTTGAAAATCCTTCGCTATGGAATAGAAGGAAACCGAGGATGATGGCCGCCTGGACATCCTCCAACTGGCTTGGGCTCGTGCGATGAGACGACTCTATTACTTCCAGCGTGGTGTTGATCCAGAGCGAGGACGCTTGGGCCGCGTCAGAGGCCGAAAACGACGGCTCGAGGTCTCCCAAGAAGTACATGGCAAGGTTGGAAGAACTTGCCAAGATGCTCAGCAAGAGTGCAAGTTCAGAGGGAAGGATAGGGAGACCTTGCTCTAGGTTGGCATAGAGATTTTGCATCATGTTGCGGACAGTCGGCACGTGGATGACATGTTGGAGATCGTCGATATGTTGGAAATAGTGTTCCAGCAAAAGCGATGCTTCGGCCCTTGGGGGAAGATAAAGACAGTTCGAGGTTGACTGGAAATCGAACGTTTTAGCGGCTTCGAGGGATATTTGGCGTATGGACACCATGCGGATGTCATGGCCTCGTGGTAATACCCATGGTACGGGCCCAGCACCAGTCCCTTCTAAGTTTTGAACTGCTTGTTCGTATTCCGAAGCCGGTGAAAGGCAGGCAAGGCTCGGAGAGGGGATCGTTCTCGAAAGGGCCACAGACGATGATATTTCAGAGCCCGGGCCTGTTGTCTCCTTGATGGGTGTTCTCCCAATGACGATGTCCTCGAGTCGTTTCAACCGCGCAAGAACAGACTGGTCATTCGGATCGTCCACTAACGCGGGTGGACGGTGGCCAGGTGACACGAATTTACCATCGCACGCAAGCCCTCTTGATGCACAGTTCGAACATGGGTGCTGCCTGTTGCATTTCAGCTTTTTCGATCTGCAGAACTGGCAAGAAATGGGTTCTTGCCGAGGCCTTTTCGAGAGATTTGAAGGCACAGCGGCACCCGAAGAGAACATTCTTGCTGTCTGCGTCTGCGAGGCTCGACAGGCCCGTCAAAAGACAGGCTAACCTTATACCACGGACATTCCAGGGGCCATGGATGGAATACCTCGCTACCTGCGGGATGAATATTGCGTTATCAATGAAGTCTCAGGACAATCTGGTTGCAAACTTCTGCCAACTGCATCATGAAGAAGGTGGGGAGGTTCGAATTGACCATGCCGAAAGGGAACGTCTGTGCTAGGTGCAATCCTTGCTTCTATTGGTCAAAACGTAAGAGTCATGTCCCATTTTCATGGTATCAGCCAATAGAAACCAACATAGAAGCTAATAGCGCTGCACTAGGAAACTCCGTGGAAGGTCCGGATCCACTACGGCCACTCTGGGATACATCCCATCAAGTTCTTGTGTGTAGTGTCCATCTCTTCAGCTACAGGCTGCAACAAATTGTCTCGTACTCGACAAGTTAGCACTATGCTATGTCCCACTGTTCCAACCGAGAGACACAATGTATTGGATGCCCAGCTCCATGGACTCTCCATTTTGCTCAAGATTGCGGAGACTGATAAAAGGCCGTGTCCTCTTTCAAGTTGCCAACGGGGATTTTCGATCCTTCGAACCGCCGCCTTGATTCTTCCAACATGGCAGAAGACTTGAAACCAAGTATGGCTTCTGACTCCGAGAAGCTTGAGCCTAATCAGCCTCAAAATGAGACCCGCGAATTCAAGTTAGTACTCTTCACCGTTCAAATGACGCTCGTTAACATTCCTCGCATAGTACCAGGTCGGTTCTCACCATCATCGGGGCAGCCTTGTCAGCCTTCTGCACAGTGGGCTTCCTCAATGCCTTCGGCCTCTTTATAGACTACTACCGGAATCATCAATTGGCCGACAAGTCCGAGTTCGACATATCCTGGATCGGATCCTTCTCGACGTTTGTGTTCTTCCTCGCCGCAGCTCCGGCAGGCCTTTTGGTCGATCGCATGGGTCCCACGGTACGTACCATCCAGACGGGTTAGCACACCATCAGATCTGCTCAGCTAATGTGGTATAGATTCTCCTCATCATTGGAGGCACAGCGACCCTCCTTGCCATGTTCATGATCTCCCTGTGTCATGAGTATTACCAATTCTTCCTCGCACAAGGACTTCTCCTGGGTATAGGGCAGGCCTTTCTCGTCTGTCCTGTCTTTGCCATGGTTAGCCGTCACTTTAACAAGAACCGCGGACTGGCGACTGGCTTCACGATCGCAGGCTCCTCCTTGGGTGGAGTTATCTGGCCCATAATGGCGGATCAACTTCTATACAAACACGGCATCAGTTTCGGTTGGACCATCCGCATCATTGCGTTTACGATGCTTCCGCTCGTGGCAGTTACCTGCATCACTGTCCGTACACCAGCATCAGAAAAGACCACGAGCGAAGAGAATGTCCCAGCCGCGCAGGAAAAGCAATCAAAGAAAACAGACTTGTCGATTCTCAAGAGTCGCGTGTTTCTCACATTTGTTCTTGGAATAGGGATATACTACCTGGGAATGTTCTCCCCTTTCTTCTTCGTGACAACCTACGCCGTCAGCCTCGGTCTATCCACCAGTTTCGCCTTCTACCTGGTTTCCATCCTCAACGCTGCCTCGTTTTTCGGGAGAATTTCGGCGGGTTGGGCCGCTGACCACTATGGACATTTCAACATGTGCTCACTAGCGGCGATGACATCTGCTGTGGTTGCATATTGCTGGACGGCTGCCCAGTCGTCGGCAGGTCTTGTGGTGTGGAGCTTGGCTTATGGGTTCTGTTCTGGTGTAAGTTGGTCTTGCATGAAGGAGACGTCAAGTGTTACTAACAACTATCCTACCCCAGTCCATCTTGAGTCTCCAGGTGTCGTGTGGAACGAAATTGGCCGCGCCCGAAGCCTATGGTACTGCTGTTGGGATGATTATGGGAATTGTCTCCTTGACGTAAGTTTGGTGTCTTTATGCGTTCCCTCCAGGATTCGGCAGCTGACGTTCCCTATCACCAGCGGACTCTTTGGCTCTCCCATCAGTGGCCAATTGATCAAGTCTGGTTACCTTTCCCTTTCAATGTATGCTGGAAGCGCACTAGTGGTTGGGGGCATATTTATTTGTCTTGCACGACTTCAGATCTCGCGGAAGCTGTTGGCTATTGTCTGAGTGTTGTAAACCGTGTTACTCAGTGGTATAGAGATGAACGGTGTGGTGGAGAGTACGAGAGATATTAGAAATGTATTATAGCTTAGATGAGTATACGTCTCGCCTCATAGATAGAAATACGCGCACAATTGATCGCCTTGAAATCCAACCAGGAACAAGGGACGAGAGTGCAGACAAGGCTGTGCTTGACCATTTTAGGTTAGTGGATTATCCAATAAAACCAGCAGGACCTAGACAGCAGGCTGGATGCGACTCGCAAGCCTCACTTGTCTTCAACCATCTTGACCATGCACACCGCGCAGTAGGCGTTCAAAATACAAGAGTCGGACTACACTCCCTTGTTGCATTAGACACATCCTTCTTGAACCCCATTCTGCTTTAACACTCAACATTATACCAAACCTGCTCTCGTCACCAAAGGTATTCCTGGAGTGTTCGCAGTCTCCAAATACTCGCCATTGCCCTTCGCGCCTCTAGAGGCAGAGCAAAGATGCCCGCAGCCATGTCCTCACAGTCGCCCTCCCTCGACTCGATCCTGCACACTCTCCAACAATCTCTGAGCCACAACGACCCGTCTCAAGCGCAGTCCCAGTTACAAAAGGCAAAACTTGCCCTACTCCAACAGAATGCCCTGATTCCCTCTCCTCAAACCCCCCCACAGACACTAGCAACTGCTCGTTCGATATTGGAGGCCGGCGCCCTTCTCTCCATCCGATCAAGAGACCCCGAATCGTTCGTGAGGTATTATTCACAGCTACAGCCCTTCTACGATTTCCCCGGCCTGCAACAGACGCCTTCCAGGGATCGATCGAAACTCACGGGACTGTACCTGCTTCTGTTACTCAGCCAAGGTGATTATGCGGGTTTCCACACCCTCTTGGAGTCCCTGATTGTCGCGGAAGGGGCAAATGGGTCTTCCAGCGTCGAGGCCGACCCATACATCAAATACCCTATGGAGGTGGAGAGGAGTCTTATGGAAGGTAGCTACGACCAGGTCTGGCGAAAGACAAATGGGCGAGACGTGCCAGGTGAAGAGTTTGGCTTGTTCTCCGACGTATGGACAACCACCTTTCTACGCTATTTGCAAAAGTCACTGACGTGAACACTAGATCCTCATCAACACCATCCGCGTCGAAATTGCTTCCTGCGCCGCTCGCTCGTATCCGTCCCTTCCCATTGCCTCGGCCAAAAACCTCCTCTTCTTAGAGTCCGAAGGCGCGGTCATGGAATTTGCGCGGGAGCAGGGTTGGAGTTTGGAAGAAGGGAGGATATATTTCCCAGGACTGGAGGCGGCAAAGAAGCTGGAGGACGGAGACGAGAAGGAGGTGATCAGCCACATGGTCGAGTATGCCAGAGAACTGGAGAGCATTGTTTGAGACGTGTCTGTGAGCATGGAGAATTCACAGTTCAGGAGGGATGGTCATTGTACTCATACTCAACAGCGCAGCTTTGCACAGGACGGCAGTATTGGGGGTCCATGGACAAAAAGCGCATAGACACGCCCGGCAGGAACATCAGGTCTCTGGCGCATGAAATTGACCTCGCTTTATGCACCTTGTTCCCATTCCTGAGCTCTTTAACCTTTTTCCAAGCCGTCCCCAGTGTGAGCTTCGCTTCGCTTCGCCTACAGCATTTGGCTCAAGAAAATGACAATTATTTTTTGGATTGCTCGGGGGCATCTTCGACAGAACTCGCCTCCATGATTCACTTGTTCTGGACCTTGAAATCATCCACAAACTTCCACGTGCATATCTTCATGTCGTAGAAGCTGGTACTGACGATCGTGTACGCCGGCGCTTCTTCTTTTGCGGGACTGACACCTTCTCGCACGGGTTCTTTACCCTCGTGGAGTTGAGCGCGTGGGTTGTCCCTCTCGGTGCGTCCGTTGTCGAGCCGCGCGTCGCAGCAGTAGACCATGCTTTCGTGGCCGGCCCGGCAGACCTTGACCGGGGTGATGGTCCATGTGTCGTCGGAGGGGGATGAGCCGGATGTGTCCGCCGCGTGCGTGACGCGCAGAATGGCGGCGCCGGCGTGCATCAGTGACGCGAGGATGAGCGTGTGGTGCTGCCGGGCGGTGTCCTGGTCTCTGTCTCTCGGCGTGGTCGAGTACTCGTCGAGGACCTTGAGTCGCCACACGCCGCCGTCGAGCCTCAGGTCCGTCTTGAAGCTCGCGCGGTGGGTTTTAGTGTCGAGTTCGAACACGCGGATGAACTCGTCGTAGCTGCCGGTGAGGAGCGGGACGATGTCTTTTCTGTCATCGTCGTCGCCGTTCTTGCCGTTGTGTATGGAAGTGGGCGAGAGGGGGAGTATCGCTACCACTCCTGCGGTATGGGTGCGGCGGTCTTTCCAGAGGAGCTTGGCGTCAGGACACAGAGTGTCGCAGGAGGATAGTAATGGTGAGTCCGATGTCGAAGGATAGGCGGAGGTGGCGTTGGCTGGTAGGGAGACTGAAGAGGCGATCAGGGCGCTGTCGTCGCCGCCACTGAGGATCACTCGAGAAGGTTTACTTCTGCTGTCATGTCCTGCTGTCCCACCCAAATCGACGGCCGCGACGGTCCAAGCTTCCAGCTCGTGTGTGTGGACGACCTCGTTCGAGCGAGGTATTAGCAGTTGAAGGGGTCGATCCAATCTCTCGTCGAAGAGGTCCTTGACCGCCGGGAGGGAGAGTGTTACGACTCTCGTCTGACCAAAACTCGTCGTCGCCACGAAGCCCACGTCAATCACGTCGCTGATCCCGACCACCCCGTGCGTGCGCGTCTCTGGGAACCAAGTAAATTGCGTGACCAGCGGTACTAGACCGTGTTCATCGTTTTCCGCCACCCGGACGGATCCTAGGGAGAGTAGTTTGCCAACGATGCGCCGTCCGAGCACGTCGCCGTAGACGACGAATCGGAAGAAATGGACCGCAGCATTGCTCGTGGCGACTCCCAGGAGCGTGTCGTCGTTAGGATGAAAATGAATGTCCAACACGGCGCAGGGGAAATCCACCCTGTCCAACAAGGGTCGCCGCATGCCCGCGTATTTCGGCTTGAATGTCGACATGACGGTCATGACCTGGAGGGACCCGCGTCGTGTCTGCCCGGTGTAGTCGCATGGTTCGTCCTTCTTGAGCAGCGAGTACGTCCCGATGATTATATATTCCGGGTGGGACGGGCATATGGCGACAGTGTCGACTTCTTGGTCCGCCGTGCGTGAGGTGTATTCAATCCCTTCAGAGATGGCGGCCATCTTGACGAGGGACAAGGGGGATGTTCTAGGAGGAGCGATGCCGCCGGCGGCCGCGACCTGGGCGGCTTGTTCTGCGCGGTAGCTTCTGATGTTGGCTTTCACCATGTTCATAAGTTCGCTGAGGGAGGGTTTGGGGAGAGTCATTGCAGCACGACCACATAGAGGTAGACTTGTTGATTTTCTTTCCCACACTTCCAACAGAGGCCATACAGGAAAAAGAGAAGAAGAGCATTTGAACGCACTTACCTACTGAATAGGTTTCAATCAATACCCTTGACGGCTAGATGTGGGTGAGGTATGTACCGACCCCGTCGCGGATTTGAGGGTGTGAATTAATGTCTGCTGGTGGTGCGGCAGACAGTGAATCCGCCACTTGCTTGATGAAGTTGATGTGCTTTGTCGTTCTGCTTTCGCTGGTCCTCTCACCACCGAGTAAGTACCTGTCCAACACGACAAATGGCATTACACGGAGATATAGGACACAGGGCAATCTTTCATCTTCAGAATTGTGCTCGTTTCCAAGAATGTGAGGTGGCAGGTGGGGATGGTCGCCAGCTGGAAATGTTCAGCCTCGTCACATGTCAGGGGTTCCGCGCCTTGCAATACGAGATGCTGTGGGAGATCAGGGATATCTTTGTGGGATAAGAGGTGGTTGAACCAAAATAAAAAGAGTGTACACGACATGGAGAGACTGGTGCTCACTACAAATAACTGATAATGGCGGAGAAGTGGTTGTACAATACGAAACACAATGGCTCTACTACTGTGACCCTCCTTCGTAATGTTTCGGAGAGGGCAAGTTTCAATAATTCAACGAGTGTATGGAGAACAAAAAGGTGGTCGGTCAAGTAAGCGACGTTCATGGCCTCTATCACGCTGTCTCATACACCGCGTTGGGGATATAAAGGTCTACCGAACAGAACAGAAATCATGGTGTGGAACATAGCGTCACACGCCCATTCAAAAGAATCGCCAACAGCTCGTGCATCTTGCTCCATTTGAATGCCCCTTCCCCATTCTCCTTGAGCACTTCCAAGCGCAGAGCGGGACACGACAACGACGTGGCAGCTTGACAGTAAGGCCGTCCTGGCGCCGCGACCTAGCCGCGAAGGCACGCATCGCGCTGGGTGCCAGAGGCCGCTTCCACACAATATGTATCCGTTATGAAAGTTGTGTCGGGCTCTGCTGGGAAGACAGCGAACCTGGCGCAATACTCATTTGCACTTAGCTGAGGCGGCACGAGGCTGGGCTGCGGTAGCGAGCTCCTCTCTCCTTCGAAGTGAATACTTTTGTTTTGGCCACCATTCTGATGGAAAACTTTTGGAAAACTGTGGTTCACGGCTGGAAACATGGCCCCAATTGGGTGCCTCGGAAGACGAACTCGATTGCGCAGCGTCTTGTAATGCCCACATCCCCAAGTCGTCCACGCAAGCGATAGCACCGCTGCTTCTGCTTCATAGACGCAATTCCAATAGTTCAAATATGGAAACCCGAGACCTGTTGACGCCTTGACACAGAAGCACGTGTAGGAGCGAGAAGCCGCCACTTTGGGTTCGCAGTTGCTCACGAAGGCTTCTCTCCCGTACAAGACATCATAGTTCATACATTGCATTAGTGATGGGTATCATGTCGAAAGACAACGTGTTTCGTCTCATTTCCGAGCTTGCTCTCTTTCCACCTCATACATGAAATCGAAGTAAGGCTTGTCGAAAGCATGCATTCTGACGTAACCATCCTCACCACCACTTGCGTATGCAATGCCTTGCGGGTGGACGGCGATGGTGTTGAGGGGCCCGAAATGGCCGCGGACACGCCCGATTTCATCCTCGAAGATCTTGTGGTAGAAGCGAGCTTCGAATTTGCCCTGGCGAGCAGATGTTGTGGTGACTTCCATAGCCGCTTGGCCACCTCCCAAGATGACAAAATCCTTCTTAGGGGTAATGGCAGCCGTGTTCAAGGGCGTGTCGGCGGTATACGACTTGAGAATGCTCAGGTCCCGCGTAGAGAGAATCTTGGCCGTCTTATCTTTTCCAGCTGTGATGAAATAGGTCCGGTCGGGAGAAAACTGCAAGTCGTTGATGGTAGTGTCATACTCATGGGCTTCTTGGGACATCACTAGTTCCCCAGTCTTCGCATCCCATTGACTAACAGACCCATCCTCATGGCCGGAGATGATGTACTTGTCCAGGTAGCCCCACCCTGCAACTGTGGCCTTGCTTTCCTCACACGTAATCCTCAGGCTGTATTCGTCCGTCTGATCTGTCAGGTCATCGCCATATCGGACGTCGTAGACCACTATCGTTCCCAGGTATCCCATTCGCTTTTCAGTGACTGCCAGCAATTGCTTTCCGTCTTCACTGAATGCAACCCGTTTGACGGCGGTGGGAAATTCCCACGTCTTGACATTCTCACCAGTTCTGATGTTCCACAACTTTATCGTGTTGTCTGCGGCTCCGGAGGCAAGGAGGTCGGTATTCGGGGATATATCGATGGTCCAAATCGCACCCTGATGGCCGTTGTATGTCCCTAATCTTTCCCCATTGCTGGTGAACCACGCGCAGATGACTTTGTCTTTCGCAACCGAGAAAAGAAGATCGCCTTCTCTGTTGTATTTGATTTGGTTGAGCGACCGCTCCTGAAATATCCGTCAGTTGGCCATTAGTCAATTTTTTTTTCCTTAGGGGCTACCCACATGGCCTTGCAAGAGAATAGGCCTCATTTTCCGATGAATTGCTCGTCTCAGGAATTAGTTGAGTGCTGTGAGAAGTTCTAAATTCAGGATGTAGCAGAAGAAGAAGATCTTTTGTAGAGTCTTTCCCGTGGAAGTCGATAGTAACCCACCAGGCGACGGGACGGCTGTGGGAGAAATCGACGCCAAGCACGAAATTACACGAGTCATGCCGTTGCTCATCCATGAGTCATTGTGACTCAAAAAAAATCCATGTGCCTGGTGGAACAGCTTGAAAACATCGTCTCAACCTTTAGCCGGCTCTCTCAGTGATGAGTATACTCGAAGACCAGGGATAGCACTTTCCTTGGTCACCCGAGACGAGTTTTCTACGGAGCTTTGGGCTCTGATATGGCCAGCAGATTATCTAGTGCGACGCGTCCAAATCATATATTGGCAGGTCGTGCCATTCTCCGTCAATCAATTTTCTCCAATAGTTCTTCTCTCCGCCTTCCGACTTTACCCTCTCAACCTTTGTCTCTCAAGAGTCTGACTGCGATCAGAGCTGCCTCTGGAGTCACCCTGATCAGTAGAGGTGCTCGGCGCCCCAAAGGACCAGTTGCCTCCCCCAGAATAGTTTCCGCAACGGTCGGCCGGTTCCAGCTACCCATCCCATATACCGAAGAAGTCACACGAGTCGGACCTTTCCAGTGCTCACCGCCCCTACACTCTCGCTTCTTCTCAAATACGACACCGAACAAGATGGGCGCTACAAAGATTGATGGGAAGGCTATTGCCCAGAAGATCAGGGAACGGCTGGCAGCCGAGATTCGAGAGAAACAGAGCGTCAACCCACGGTATAAACCATGTCTGAAGATCATTCAAGTCGGTGATCGACCTGACTCGACCACCTACGTCCGGATGAAGTTGAAGGCAGCCGAGGAAGCAGGCATTGATTGTGCACTGGTTCATCTACCAGACTCGATTTCAGAGCCGGAACTATTGCAGCAGATCATTGACTTCAACAATGATCCCGCTGTCCATGGTATCCTCGTCCAATTGCCTATCCCTAAACACCTTTCTGAACACACAATTACCTCTGCAGTCGCAGACGAGAAGGATGTGGACGGGTTTGGAGCTACAAATATTGGAGAGCTTGCTAAAAGAGGTGGCAAACCTTTCTTCGTTCCCTGCACCCCGAAAGGAGTTATGGTGCTGTTGCAGGAGAGTGGTGTTGATCCCCGAGGCAAGACGGCTGTAGTCCTCGGCCGCAGCGACATTGTTGGCAGTCCGGTCAGCTATCTTTTGAAGAGTGCCGATGCCACGGTTATTGTGTGCCACTCTAAAACTCAACGCATCGAAGATGTTGTCAAGCAAGCCGATATCTTGGTTGCGGCTATCGGTCAGCCGGCTTTTGTCAAGGGTGACTGGCTGAAACCAGGAGCTGTGGTCATTGACGTGGGCACAAATTATATTTCTGATCCTTCAAAGAGCTCGGGGCAGCGCCTTGTTGGAGACGTCGAATTTGAGTCAGCTGTTCAGGTTGCTTCCCAAATCACGCCTGTTCCCGGTGGAGTTGGCCCCATGACAGTTGCGATGCTTATGCAGAACGTTGTCGATGCCGCCTCATCCTACTTTGAGAGACTCAAGGCAAGACACGTTACTCCGCTGCCGATCAAGCTTGAGAAGCCCGTCCCGTCCGATATCGAAATCTCGAGATCACAGCATCCCCGCCACATCACCCAAATTGCCGCTGACGTCGGCATTGCTCCTCACGAATTGGAACCATATGGTGCCCACAAAGCCAAAGTTGACCTTTCAATCCTTTCAAGGCTGGCGCATCGCAGGGATGGAAAGTATATTCTGGTTAGTGGTATCACCCCGACTCCTCTAGGAGAGGGTAAGTCCACTACGACAATGGGCCTTACCCAGGCCCTTGGGGCTCACTTGGGAAAAGTGGCATTTGCCAATGTTCGACAACCAAGTATGGGACCAACCTTCGGCATCAAAGGTGGTGCAGCGGGTGGCGGCTACAGTCAAGTCATTCCCATGGATGAATTCAACCTTCATCTGACAGGCGATATCCACGCAATTACAGCTGCGAATAACCTTTTGGCTGCTGCCATTGACACACGTATGTTTCATGAGTCCACTCAAAAGGATGGTGCATTGTATAAAAGACTGGTGCCCAGCAAGAAGGGCAAGCGAGAATTTGCCCCGGTCATGCTTCGAAGGCTTAAGAAGCTGGGCATCAATAAGACAAACCCCGATGACCTAACTGAGGATGAAATCAGGCGGTTCGCACGCTTAGACATTGATCCGGAGACAATTACCTGGAGGAGAGTCCTTGATGTCAACGACAGGCTCCTGAGAGGAATCACCATCGGTCAGGCTCCTACGGAGAAGGGCCACAGTCGACAGACAGCTTTCGACATTTCTGTTGCGAGTGAATGCATGGCCATTCTTGCACTAAGCAACGACCTGAGAGACATGCGTGAGCGGCTTGGTCGAATAGTGATTGGGTCTTCGAAGGCCGGAGATCCAGTTACTTGCGATGACATTGGCGCTGGCGGTGCCCTAACTGCTCTCATGAAAGATGCTATCAAGCCCAATCTCATGCAGAGTTTGGAGGGAACGCCCGTTTTTGTCCATGCTGGACCGTTTGCGAACATCAGCATTGGCAACAGCTCTATTCTAGCGGATAAGTTGGCTCTGAAGCTTGCCGGGACCGAACCTGACGAAGATCACGAGTCCAAGGCTGGATTTGTTGTCACCGAAGCTGGGTTTGATTTCACCATGGGCGGTGAGAGGTTTTTCAACATCAAGTGCCGAAATTCTGGTCTTGTACCGGATGTCGTTGTCGTCGTCGCCACCATTCGAGCCCTAAAGGTCCACGGTGGCGGTCCAGAGATCCCTGTAGGATCTGCGCTGCCAGAAGCTTACCGGACGGAAAACACCGAAATGTTGCGCGCTGGCTGTGTCAATCTCAAGAAGCACATTGCGAACGCCAAGTCCTATGGCGTTCCCGTTGTGGTGGCGATCAACAGGTTCGAGACAGACACCGAGGCTGAGCTCAAAGTCATTGAAGAAGAGGCTCTCGCCGCAGGTGCCGAAGCCGCTGTACCTGCAAATCACTGGGCCGAAGGAGGTGCCGGTGCCGTCGACTTGGCCAAGGCAGTGATTGAGGCTTCGTCGAAGCCTAAAGAATTCAAATTCCTCTACAGTCTTGAAGGCACCGTCCAGGAGCGCATCGAAAAGATTGGCAAGGAAATGTACGGGGCAGGAAAGGTCGAGTTTAGCGAGCTGGCACAGAAAAAGGTCGACATGTACACCAGACAGGGCTTTGGGAACCTGCCCATCTGCATTGCAAAGACTCAGTACTCCCTCAGCCATGACCCAGCGCTCAAGGGGGCACCCACTGGCTTCACAGTCCCGATACGGGATGTAAGGTTGGCGGTCGGCGCAGGATACCTGTATGCGCTGGCTGCAGATATTCAGACCATTCCAGGTCTCCCAACTGCGCCGGGATATCTGAATGTCGATGTGGATCCCGAGACTGGCGAGATAGATGGGTTGTTTTAGAATGGTTGGCTGGAAATCCGGATTTACAGTACGCGTACATGCCTTTTGACGAATTTCAACAACTCTAGAGATACCCCATTTCAACAATCATACTATAGGTGGTAGATAAAACAAAGGAATACAAATTTATTGGGTTCGGTCCTCTTGCATACTGGGGCTGGTTCTCCTGCGTTGGGCGAAAGCTGCCTGTCGGGTTAGTGAAGCCCTTGCATCCAAGATATGCAGGCGTCTTTGAAAGGTCACGACGCCACTGCAGGAATGCCTTTCTCACCCGATCTCACGAGCTCACCCGTCTCATAGTTTATCCTCAAGGGGAGCGAGCCATCAACAGTCCCCTTCGTGCAGGTCTGAGGTTTGCAGTCCTTCGCGGTGGGCTCAGCGAGGCTCGACGAGGGCCTAAATGTATTGCCGACTCCGTCCGGGGTGCATGCAAATATCGGGGTGCAGAAGTGTGAGCTCGATCCCTCCAGGTTTTAAGGAGTCCTCCGTCTTCTCTGTTGATAGGGTCCCACAATTCATGTGAGTCGGGATGGCCCAAGACATGCAGATGCCATCGCGGTAGCCGACGGTAATCTTTCGGATGGTGTCGCTGCAGGGGGCTTCAGGCTCTCCGTCTCTATTTGAGCAACCGGGGGTCGAGTGAGATAGATATTCATTGGCCACCCACGCCCGGCTTCGGATGCTCGTGCTCTGCAGCATTCCATGTGCGTGGCTCGCAAGAGGTTGACCAAAAAAAAGAATGATAACTGGACGGATCGCTTGGTGTCTCTGGAACCCAGACTTGATGGCCTCCGGGCAAGATCGGAAAGAGACTGGATGATTGATTAACTCTCTTATCAGAAGGCGTCAAGCAAGTTCTCCTCCTGCATCATCAGCGCGTCTTTGACATTGCGAAAGTTGGGAGCGACGTCCTCTCGCTAGTCAAATATGTAACAGCCGGGGAAGCAAGCACAGCCACTACCAGCATCCATTCGGCACGTAAAAGTTTTCATCCTGTGGATCATAAAAAGAACAGTACGGGTATGAACAAGTCAATTGAAGCCAGGAAAGGGATGGAGAAAGCGCGTATGCTTGGGAAGAGGCGATCGCTGGCGCATATAAACGCAACAGCCATTGTCTTGTGACCAACACATCGAACAAGATGTCTTTTCCTTTGAGTTGGGGGTACGGGTATTTCCGACATACACGTCGAAATACGAGTACGAGACTGGCAAGGGGGTTTTTTTTTTCTCGAATTGGAGCCCGTCGAGTTTGTCGAGGAGGCGCAGGGAAACCAACAGGCGTGTGGTTGTCGCATGAAGTGGACACGGACATGGAAGTTCAAAGAGATTCTAAATTCGTCACTGAGTACCGCATAAGATAGGACCGTCTTTGTGTACAAGCAGACGAGGTACCTGGTGTGCAGTTGTGTTTCGTCGTTGTTGGTGTAGAATCTTGGTGCGGGGAGCAGAAGCGGGCGCAGTTGGGAACCTGTTGCCTGGCTCAGAGGCTGCACTTTCCTCCAGACAAGCACCAATCAGGAACAATTTAGATTTCGCATCTCATCATGCCTGCGTCTTGGTCTCGAACGTCGCTCTCCAAGATCCTTCACAATCGCAGTATCCGTTGGGCATTTCACAGCTTGTCACATAAGCCTTACAGTGTCGGGCTTGTTTTCAGTTCCGTGTTCCAGACGTGGAATCGCTGGTTCTCTTCAGCCACTAGCTCGTCTCCGTCCATCACGAATGATACCCGGAACACTCAATCGTCTTGATCCTTTCACGGCCGATTTTACCACTTAGCGGCCACTTGATGCTATCCGATGTCGCCCAACAATCTGGACACCAAACCGAGGCGAGGGCTACGGGTTTCGTGTGACTCGTGCCGACGTATGAAAGTACGTCCCTAGAAGCCCTCTCACCGGATGTATCTACGTGTTTGGGCTGTTGCTTGCCTCTTTCATCAGTATTACGACTTACATGCCTATCTAGATACGATGTGACAGGCAAGGGAGCAGCAACTGCTCTAATTGCCGGGCACGAGACATGCCGTGTATTCTCACTCCGGTAGAGAGGCCAAAGACAAAGGTGAAAAGGTAATGAGGAGAACATTTCACCATTGGCGTGGGCACGGCTAACCACAAGCTGCATTCCTCACCGTACAGAGCACAGTTTCTCCACTCGATAGAGTCTCGAATTGAGCGTATGGAAGCACTCCTATCTGGCTTCGCTGAGAAACAGTGCACCGTCGAAACCCCCAGAGCAACAGAACCACCAGTTAGCCCACCCGGTCTGGAAAAAGAGCTTGCCAATCTCCTCATATCAGACTCTGGCGAACAGAAATTCGTCGGTAAGTCCAAAATATTCCTCTGGTTGGTTCTGAGAATACGACTCTGACCATCATAGGACCCTCGGAATTTTCTCTCTTCTCCCCTCGAGGTCTGGCTTGGATCCGGCGCAAGACTGGATCAAACCGTGTGGCGGCCATCGTACAGAAGTATCAGCAAGTCGGTCCCCTATGGCCCTCACATCGGATCGGCTATCTATCGCAGGCCGAACATGCTACTAAGTGCCCCCTCCCGAGCAAAGGGGCAGCTGTACGGCTCGTCAACAGTAAATCACTCCTGGAAAATGCTTATGGGCTGGTCTAATCACGAGATGACAGATTATTTTACGACTTTCAACTCTATACTTCCTCTATTCGACCAGGAATCATTCTGGATTCAATTCCATCAGCTATATTCAGCTAACCCCCCGGCAAAGGGACCGTGGTATGGCGCAGTGAATGTTGTTCTGTCCATCGGGTGCATTACCGCCACAGAACCCATCTGGAGTATCGTCCGCGACTCTGACCCGTCTTACTTCTCTAATGTCATGGACGTATCATGGAAGCTTTTTCAAAACGCTTCGTCGGTCCTGCTAGATATCCTCCTGGGTGCCAACGGCTTGGTGGGTGTGCAGGCAGTAATTGGAATGGTATACATCTCCGTCCCACAATCTTGGCCGTGTTGATTGTTGATTCTTGTCCAGGCTTTCATCATGCAGGCAGTCCTAAATCCAGAGGGTGCGTTTACCTTGCTCGGAATTGCTGCTCGACTGAGCTATGCTCGTGGTCTGCATCGCTATCTTGAAGGCTTCGGCCTGTCTCAAGCAGAGCTTGTGCAGCGTCAGAGGGTTTTTTGGATATTGTACATCCTGGAAAAAGATCTGTCGAGCCGGATCGGAAGACCCTCTTGTATTGATGACGACGACATTGGCTTCGGTTTTCCTGGCGAACAATCGCACGGTACCGATGGCATTACCATATCAAGTGCTGCCTCTGGCGATACGAAGTTCTACCCTTTTCACCATATGTGTGTGCTTGCGCGCATTGAGAGTCAAGTGTACAAAGAACTATATGCGTATTCTGCGCGCCTAAAAACGACGAGCGAGAGACTCGAATCTATCAGCAGGCTGGATGCAGAGCTTCAAGAGTGGAAGGAGAGCTTCCCTGTGGAGATCAGACCGGAACATCCTATCCAATGTGAGTCGGAGAACAGATTTTCGATCGTCGTTCTTCACTTTGGATACTATCACTGCGTGAGAGCTGTCCACCGTGTCAATGCACAGTGAGTTCCCCTCGCTCTCCCCGAAGGTTCTAGTATTAGACCCAGGGCACCCTCGACGAGGCTCTGTCAAGGTCGGCATCTGCTAACAGATATTTGTAGCCATGAATTGTGGTCGTTGGAGGCTGATGAAACTGAGAACACCGATTCGAATCCCGCCACTTTCACCCCCGATGCTCCAAGCCCTGATGATGCAATGAACGTCAAGGTCAATTCATCCTATGCGCTATGTCTGGCAGCAGCGCGATCGATCCTACATCTCTCAGTAGTGTATTTGCAGAATTGGAAAGATCCCAGGAACACTCTGATATGGATAAGTCCATACTTTCCCTTCTCAGCATTCTTGACACTGTTCGCCTTCATGTTGAATGCCCCTCTGGATCCAAAGGTGACCGCGGATCAAGCTCTTATGGAGGCAACATTGAGCTGCATCGATGGAATGCTACACACAATGGACAGGGAAACCATGACCTTTTTTGCGGATATTGCGAGCGAGCTTCTCACAGTTGCCAAACAGCATGTCGAGAATGCCCGTGCCCGCGTGGCTCAAGAGAAGGACAAGGGCCCAACAATGCCGGAAACCCTCGCTGGGACGCCTTTTACCGGCTTCGCCCAAAATGACGCTGCTGCTTACACCGCCATGGGAAGTAATATACAATCGTCGGTTCTGACCAGTTCGAATCCGCAACAGGATCCTCTGGTTTCAACCGCCACTAATCTGCAGAGTGGATTCGACTACACGGGTATTGACCCTGCTATGAATCCGCTGTATGCAACAAATGATGCTTTTGATCCAGGCATGATGAACGATGGCCAATTTTCGATACAACAAAACTTGATGGACGATCCATTCTTCTTCATGGAGGACGCTGGTTGGGACTGGAGCTATTGATCTTGGCCCGTTATCAGCAGTCGTACATACCTGGACTTGCGGACAATACGTATCTTATGGCAGGCCGATATGTCTGCCGCCACTGAGAGCGTTCACTTGCCGCTCTTCATCAAGACAGTCTCCTGGTCATCATAAGCTCCGGGATCGGCTTGACGGCAACCCCGCAAGTCGTCTCCACATATTGACTTTAAGACTCAGCGGTTCCCATACAATAGTGGACGACGCCTTGCCATCCAGACTATAATTTGGTCAAGCAGGCACCGATACTGTAGCATCAGGTGGATAAGCACTCATTGGTGCTCTCCAAAGACTCAAGTTATCACAAATTTCCTGATCACTCGCGATGGGGATATCGCCCTTTAGAATCGACATAACCAAACAGGAAGTCGAACGACTACAAAGGAAGTTGCAAGACACGAGAATTCCGAAAACACCCATTGTTCCTGGGGCTGGTAGCGACTATGGTCAGTATACATTCGAGAATACCAACCTAATTCTGGGGTTCTGATCTGAAACAGGTCCTCCGATTGAATGGTTCCAGCGTCTCACCAACAAATGGCGAGACGAGTTTGACTGGTTTTCTATACAAGAACATCTGAACCGACATGACCACTTTCTCGCTGACATTGATGATGAGAATTCCCAGCTGCGAATCCATTTTACGCATATCAAGTCGACAAGAACCGATGCAATCCCTCTTATCTTGGTCCATGGTTGGCCCGGCTCATGGCACGAGTTCGACCGCGTGGTTGACGCCTTTGCCAATCCCGAGGACGTTTCGGATCCGGCATTCCACGTCGTGGTGCCGAGTCTGCCTGGGTTCTGTTGGTCTTCTGCACCCCCTCGGCGGGGTTGGACGATGCAAGACACAGCACGGGTCTTCAATAAACTGATGATCCAGCTTGGTTATACGCATTACGTTGTGCAAGCGGGTGATTGGGGATCGTTTGTGGCCCGCGAAATGGGCGCCAAATTCCCGGAGTGCAAAGCAGTCCATCTGAACTTCTGTCCGGTCGAGCTGGATGACAGTATCACAGACCTTACACCCCGCGAGGTGAAAATCAAAGAATGCTGCCAAGATTGGTTGGATAACCATCTGGGGTATGCTGTTTGTATGCGGACCCGTCCACAAACCATTGGTGTCGCGCTGAGTGATAACCCGGTCGGAATCCTCGCCTGGGTCGGAGAGAAATATCTGGAGGCGGTGGCTCCCGCAAAGGTTCAGTCTCCAGATCCGACATGGGACCAAGCAATTCTCACCACATGTTCTCTGTATTATTTCACAGACTGTATCATGTCTTCGGGTCTACCATATTTCGAAGGTGTCAAGCATGCAGATTTTGGGAATTTCTTCCTGAAGCAAGAGAACTACATCGGGGTGCCTATGGGCTACACCAGTTTCCTCTATGACACAAGGCCAGGGACCGAGAGAAGCGTGAGGAAGACGGGACGACTAGTGTTCTACAATGGTGAGTTTCTTGCGCTGCATTACCTCAAAGGACATGCTGAGAATCTCACCACTGAACAGAGTGCGACGATGGCGGTCATTTTGCTGCATTGGAACGGCCGGACGTTATTCTCGCTGACTGCCGGAAGTTCTTCAGAGAGTGGTACAACGCTTGAAATAGAGTGCTTGTACGGAGAGGATTTTCCACTACTAGCATTTCCGAACTCAAATATACCCTGGAACTATGTGGGCGTGCTGGTCTCCGTGGTACACTAGATGATGGATCCGATCACATCTCCGAACCGGCTGCATGTCTTGATGCTCGGCCTGAGCAGTAGAAGGCTAATGTATGTGGCTATTTACTTTATGGGCTGACTCGCTAAGATACACGTGCGTCGGTTTAAAGTCCTAGCACGCATATAACGTAGCGAGCTGGACAGTCCATTTACAACGGTATTGCTGCCGGAGAAACGTAAGTGGAAACTTACGGGTTGTTGATACAAGTGCGCATTGGGTGGTGCTACGGATACAGGCGTATGACGTCACCACTCAGCCTTGTCGGCACAAGGCTGTCATGCTTGATAATAAACCAGATTTGCGATTTGGCATGTGTGTCCACGGGTATCACTTCAACTATCCTCCATACACTGAACTCCCTTGCCTCGCTCGACCATCGATTCTCGTCTACGGCGAAAGGCAGGGCGCAATGGAAGTCAGAACCATTCGCTGACGAAGTGAAAGGATAAATCATGAGGATCTGGACTAAGCTCGGGATTCCGAGCTTGATCAGGACCTGGCCAGTCGAGTGTTGCGGACTGTCACCTCGCCCTCTCTCGGTCTTCCCACAGAAGTCTCTCCTTTCAACCTGGACCCTAGGATGTCGGCATCTTACCAGACCACCAATGCAATATGCAGTTAGATGCCTGACTTATCCCGCCAAACGAGCGTCATCGACGCAAAGGATCTCCTCGGACACAGACCTTATAGACGGCGCGCTGGATGCGTCAGACTCGAGCCTGAACGCCAAGAATGGCAAAATCACCTGTATCTATTTTGACAAATCCGGCCGCTTCAACGCCGAGCACAGGCAACTCACCAAGGCCGAGATTGGAGAGCAGTTCGAACTCCGTCACCGAGACCTCCGGGACATTGACCTCAAATCCGAGGCGGTGACACGCATCTTGGTCAGGCCAACCACCATCCTGCTGCAATTCTTCCAGCTGTGCATGATCATCCAGGCGGACGAGGCACTCCTGATCTACAATCAGCCGCAAACCAGCGGTGACAGCGACAACGACGACAGTAACGGCGCTGATGACTCCTCTCCGCGGAAAGACGACAGTGAGTTCTACCACGAATTCGAAAAGCGCATGTCGGGCCCGACCATCGAGACGGCCGACGTGCCGGAACTGCCGTACGAGCTGCGCGCCGTAGAGGCGGCGCTGGTGGCGGTGCTCTCGGTGCTGCGACGGGACCTCATCGACGCGCGGCACAAGGCAGAAGAATCGGCGGCGAGCCTGCGACTCGACTCGGGCCTGGCGGCGGTGGGGCTGAACCTGGTCTTCGACCGGACACGGCGGCTGAGCAAGATCGAGCAGAAGGCGCGGCTGGTGCGGGACACGATCCGCGAGGTGCTGGACACGGACGAGGACCTGGCGGGCATGTACCTCTCGGACCGGGTGGCGGGGCGGCCGCACGCGACGGCCGACCACCAGGAGGCCGAGTACATGCTGGAGGCGTACCACAAGGCGGCCGACACGCTGGTCGAGTCTGCGCAGGCGGCCGTCGACGTCCTGCGCAGGAAGGAGAACACGTTCCGCTCGTCGCTGGCCGTCCAGCGCAACCAGATCATGTTCCTCGAGGCCCGCATCGCCATCCACACCCTCGGCCTCGCCGCCGGCACCATGGCCGCCGGCCTCTTCGGCATGAACCTCCTCAACTACCTCGAGGACGCGCCCCAAGGCTTCTTCTACGTCACGGGCGCCTGCGTCGTCCTCAGCGCCCTGTTCTCCATGCACGGCATGCGGAGCCTGAGGAGGATCCAGACCCTCAAGGGCATCCAGCGGTCTAGGGCTGGAGGACGCCGGATTTAGATCCAGCGCAGGCAGTACCCCCTCTTCCTCCTCCTTTTCCTCTTCTCGGGCTGGAGTGGGCTGGGCTGGGCTGGGCTTTTTCATACTCCCTCAGGATATTCCTTGGAGTCGGTGGTCTTTTTTTTTTTTTTTCTCAAGACATTGTCAACGAGATTCTACAGTACACTTTATCCCCATTCTTAGCTTCTTTCTTCCTTTCCCCTTCGGGGGTTTCCACTCTCCGGTGTCTTGTCTCCCCCATCCTCTCTTCACGAGACAATAGCGTGAACCGTCTCTTCGTAGACCGTCCGGACCGTGCCCCCGTGTCCCGGTGCCCCAGCAGTGTATCATATATCCGCAAGACGTCGTGTCGGTATTACATTACATTACATACAATGCACGGAATTTTTCTTTGCAAGATAAAATGTCAGCGCCACGGACGGCGTTCATCAAAGTCACCTGGGGTACTTGGTACCTCCAGGACTAGAAGAACCCAGGATTCATGACCCAGCGAATCGGTGTGGTAATAGGACAGTACACTACAGTACAAGAATAAGGAGATGCATCACACGCCTTGTCAGAGGGAATGAGAGATGTCCAAAAGTGATAGGAGTCTGAGCAGACCGGAAAATCGAGATGTCAAGACTGCATAGGAAATGCAAAATAACTTTGCCGAGGAGAAACCCGCTGTCTATTGCATCCCGGCAACATATGCATGCACCATTAAAAGGACGGAGAAAAGCCATTGATTCCCGTGGATTTCTCACCGAGTGCTATTCATAAACCCCAAGTACATGCCATGCCATGCCATTGCCATGTATATTCCACAGACGCTCAAGGTCTTTGCCGTAGAGTCCAACACAGCTCGTAAAGACCCGTAACCTCAAAATTTTCAATCGTTCTAGCGACAGATCCAATTGCCCGTTACGGTTTGGGAACGTGTAATGTTCTGCTCGTCATGAGAACCCCATTGACGAGAAAGATCACCACCAAGGGGTGAAACTCGAGCGCGGTTCCACTGAAGAAAGTCCCCAAGGGGATATCTCCATGTATCCACCCAGACCAAGCGCAAGCCGTCATCACCGTCAAGCTTATCAAGCAAGCAAACGGTATTGGCGTGCCCTCGAAGTACTTTGACTTCCCAGACTTATCCTTCGGTAGCATTGCAACAGTCACATTGAATCGCGCTAGTCTTGTCAGTCCGCAGAGAACGTAGAAGCTCAGGAAGAGCTGATCGACGTTTGTACGAAATCCCATGGCGAACCCGGCGGCAGCGGTAGCGACACCAAATGTGACCTAGAGAACACGCTGTCAGGATGATGCCAGCAGACTAACATGTATTTTCGAGCATACCAAATCTGCAAGCGAGTCCAACTCTTGACCCATCAGGGATGACTTCTCTCTCCACCGCGCTACCTTGCCATCCAGAAAGTCGAAGAATAGTCCAAAGGGCATTAAGCCGAAAGCGAGCCATAGATTTGTGAGATCGCTTGGATCTGCGAGACAATAACGCATCGAGGAGAGAATTGACATGACTGTGCAACGGGTCAGCAGCGAGGACAATGTCCCATGTTGAGAGACGCACATCCACAGAAACCTGGTTGAGTATTAGCATGTGTGTCCCCCCTTCAGGGCGTATGTGAGACTCACCATTCATTTCAGTGATCAGATCGGCGAGATGAAGCGCCCTGCCCAATTGTGAGTCTTTACCGCGGCAGGAGACGGTACTGCACGCACCTGACCAGACTAAAATGTCCTGTGTCTTGAGATAACAGCATTGCTTGCTTCGACTGAGCATTATCCTTGGGCTGCGCAGGACTTTGTTTCTCGACGCCATTGGTGGACCCCGCTCGCCGTGACATGGCTTTCGTGCTTGGGTGTAAGAAGGTGAAAAAGTTGAGGATTCGGAGATCTAGGATTAGAGAAGAGGGTGTTCGAGGAAAAGAGTAAGGTAATACCACGGCATAGAACAGGACAGGCAGGGGAAATAAAAGCTCGACCAACGCGACGGACTTGGACTTTTGAGGAACCAAGGCACAGCCGCAGTCAAGTCACTGACCAGCAAACTTCAGGCTGTGCGGCTTGTGTCGTCATTATGCAGCGCGTGTGGCTTCCGTCACTGGGAAAATCAAACAGAAGGGAAAAAGGGACCATCACGTGCCAGGAACACAGAAGCCAATGCTGAGAATTCGAGACCCTCTAACTCGCTCCATTTGAGTAGACCAGGAGTCTCGACTAGAGAGGGCCCCCTTGGTTCAAACATAAGAAATCATCAGTCCATGTTTACTGGTGACCGTTGCCAGCCTTCCCAAGATCCCAGATCATCTCTGGCCACCACTTTTTAGAACGGGTATCCTTCCCAACGCCGGTACTATGCGAAACAGAGGCAGCCACGTTTGACAGGTCAACGACAGGTCAGGCTATCCTTTAGAACCTGCCACGGCCTCTGGAAGAGAAGCCACCTCCTCTCGAAAAGCCACGTCCTCCTGGTGCTCCTCCACGAGCCCCGCCTCTGGGACCTCCTCGACCACCTCCACCGAACGAGCCTCTGCCTCTGGGTGCTCCCCGTCCAGGTGCACCCCGGCCTCTAAAAGCTCCTCTTCCTCTCATTCCTCCTTGTGCACCCGCCGGCTTCCTGACCTTTGCTGCACCTGCTCACAGTGTAAGCGCAACATGTATACTGAAAAACTCATGCGAGACTCACCTGGTGGTGGTTTGGGTTTGGGCAAGAACCTGTTCGTCACTTCTTAGCAAGCTGCACATCTCCCATGTTTGTTTCAAGACGTACTTCTCTAGTGGTAGCAACTTGTCCCCTCCAATGTAGAATTTGTCACCCTTCTTAAACGACGTAGCTTGAATGCCTTCTTGCGGCTTGATTGTGAAGTAGACTTGGTTGATAGGTCCCAGGATCTCATCCACTTTTCCTATGGTAGTCTGTGCCGGTCAGAGTAGTCCAGACGAGCCGGAGAGAATCTCTCTACCTTGTTCTCGAGGTATATTGGGGCGTTGAAAAAGGGTATCTTTGCGTTGACGGACTCGCAGACCATCTCACCCTCGGTGGCGTGGATGAAGGTGCCCATTTCTACCACAAAATTAGTCACAAGCAAGTCGCAAATACACTCAGGGCCTTACCAAAGACTTGTGCAGGCGGGCCAAAGCTCTGTTGTTGGAATCCACCTCGCCCTGCTCACCACCGTCGGTCAGTCACATTTCTCCGCCGCAGCAAAAAAGTGCGCGCAATTTCGAGTTTCGGGGCAAGAGATAATTTTACCTCCACCTCTTCCACCAAACGATCCTCTTCCTCTATCACCACCTCTGAAGCCGCCACGTCCTCGCGCATCACCTCGGAAGGCCATTGTTGTTGTGGACAGTGGGAGTTGTGGCAGGCTGTCCTTGAATCTTTGGGGAAAATTAATTTTGCTGCATCTGCATCTCCATGTTTAGAGCCGTGGTCGGCCGGCACGTGACTGACACCTCATTTTTACGGACGGCCACCACTTGCCATACCCACTTGAGCGGCATAATATTCAATCCGCATACATCTCCACTCAGGTCTTTCGCTATGAGCCACCAGAAGAAAGCGAGTCTCAATCCCCACGATCTTTGGGGGGTCTTGAAAGGAGACGGTGTGACTCAAACCCGCTCCGCTGCCACTGACTCATTGACCCCTGAAGCCAAAACATCAAAGAGACCGGTGAGCCCAACTTCGAGCAAGAAACTCCCCAACAGACCCAAAGAAATGTCTACTCAAGCAGCCGCCCCTGAGGCGCACCAAGCGCCCAAGTCTCTACCCGATTTCATCCTAGAAAGAAACCAGCTCTTCGACCAGCTGAAGAAGCAGCGTGACGAAGAACTCGCCAGCAGGGATAAACCAACAATTCAAGTCACCCTTGTTCCTGCTCCTGGCCAAGAAACCTCCGTTGAGGGCAAGGCATGGGAAACCACGCCTGGTCACCTGCTGAAGAATCTGCCCAAAGACCGCGCTGGACAAGTCGTGGTGGCCAAGGTCGATGGCGAATTGTGGGATCTAGACAGACCATTGGAAAAGAACAGCAAAGTGTCATATCTCACGTTCGACGACCCCGAAGGCCGTGATGTCTTTTGGCACTCTTCAGCCCATGTGCTTGGTGAATGTGCCGAGCACGAGTACGGCTGTCGCCTCTCTCACGGTCCTCCCACCGCTATGGGTTTCTTCTACGACATGGCTCTCGAGCCTGGCAAGGCCGTCCGTGAAGCCGAGTGGCCCTCCCTAGAGAATCGTGCGAAGAGATTTGCAAAGGACAAACAAGCCTTTGAACGCCTCGAAGTCTCCAAGGACAATCTCCGCAAAATGTTTGGCTACAGCAAATACAAGATGCACTACATTGAGAAGTTTGTGCCAGACGGGGAGTCATCCACCGTGTATCGCAATGGCACGTTGGTAGATTTGTGCCAGGGCCCGCATATCCAGAACACCCGCAAAATCGAGTCCTTCAAGATCATGAAGAACAGCTCTGCATATTTCCTGGGCGACCAGAACAATGACTCTCTTCAGCGCATTCACGGCGTTGCTTTCCCCACGAAACAACAACTCAAAGACTGGGAACATTTCCTCGAGGAGGCCAAGAAACGTGATCACCAGGTCATCGGCCAACAGCAGAAACTCTTCATGTTCAGTCGAATGTCTCCTGGCTCACCGTTCTTGCTTCCCCACGGAACTCGCATCTTCAATGCTCTCCAACAAATGCTCCGCGACCAATACTGGGAACGGGGCTATCAGGAGGTCCAGTCCCCCAATATGTACGATGTGGATTTGTGGAAAATCTCGGGCCACTGGCAACATTACCAAGACGACATGTTCCGCGTGATAGTGAAGGAAGATTCTGCCGACCCTATGCCGCTGAGCGACAAAAAGCCAGACGGCAAGACCCCTCTCGCAGAAATCAAGGATAAAGACAAGGGCGTCTTCGCTCTGAAACCCATGAACTGTCCAGGCCACTGCGTCATGTTCCGCGACGAAGAGCGCTCCTACCGCGAGCTACCTTGGCGAGTGGCGGACTTTGGTGTGCTTCATCGCAACGAAGCCTCTGGCGCGCTCTCTGGCCTCACCCGAGTACGCAAGTTTCAGCAAGACGACACGCACATCTTCTGCACCAACGAACAAGTGCAGTCCGAGATTGAGGCCCTGTTCGACTTCATGTCTCACGTCTACGGTCTGTTCGGGTTTCCGTTCAAGTTGAAATTCTCCACGCGACCCGAGGGATACATGGGCACGCTGGAAGACTGGGACGCAGCCGAAGCTCGCTTGAAGCAAGCCTTGGTCAACTTCCGAGGGGACGACTGGGAGATGAACGAGGGCGATGGTGCCTTTTACGGCCCCAAGATTGATGTCACGATTTCTGATGCGCTGGGCCGAGAATTCCAGTGTGCGACCATCCAGCTGGATTTCCAGGGCCCGCAGAACTTCAAGCTTGAGTACCGCACCGGCGAGTCTGGGGATGTTGTCGCCCAGCAATCCGAGGAACACCGCGAGCGCGATCCCAAAGCACCAGCTCCGGGCATGGCGCGTCCAGTGATGATCCATCGTGCCATCATCGGCTCCTTTGAGCGCTTCATCGCCATCCTCTGCGAACACTTTGCAGGCAAATGGCCGTTCTGGCTCTCCCCCCGCCAGATCCTCGTTATCCCCGTCATGAAGTCCGCCGAGGATTACGTGCGTGAGATCCAGGGAATTTTCCACAAGGCACGTATGTACGTGGACATTGACGTCAGCGGAAACACGCTGCAGAAGAAGATCAGGACGGGCCAGTTGGCGCAGTATAACTTCATCTTTGGTATGTATCTCTCTCTTTCTATCTTTCTATCTATCCCTTCCCCCCAAAAAGCAAAATGCAAGACTCTGGGGCAATGGGGATAGGAGACAATCCTCTCCTTGAGTTTTCGGCCTTTGATCATTCCCCAATCGTGTTTCACCCTGCTGACTTTGGATGTCTAGTCGTCGGCGCGAAAGAAAAGGAGACCCGCACCGTGAACATTCGAAACAGAGACGACCCATCCACGCAGAAGATGGGCGAACTGATTCCGCTGGAGAAGGCGCTGGAGCGATTGACGCAGCTGCGCGACGAGAGGAAGCTGGAGAACAAGATTGACATGAGCCACTAAATCCCTCGCGCCCTGCCATGCACACCGAGTGTCTCCGTCAAGCCAGCCAGCTTGCCAGCCAGCAAGCTAGAAAGATGACCCGGACAAAGTTGGAGGTTGAAGAGATAGAAAAGCAACGATCAATCAATATCAGAGCAACACAGGTTAGCGCATCAATGTGTTTGGTCTTTCTTGAAATGTTTTTGTTATCTGAACACGTCGCAAGATCGCTTTGTTTGAGCCTGATGCCCGGAACCGTGGCAATGGAAATCAATTCAGGAGGATGGAAAAGAGATAGAACGTCACGGTGGAAGGTCAGCCAGCACGCATAGCATGCAGTCAGATACTCAACAGACATGGCGGGGGAATAAAACCACTGGGTATATTCTTGTTCCTGCAGAGCAGCATCGCCGACGAAGACATATTCATGCCGAATTGACCTCTACTTTGCCCCGTCTCTTATAAACATTTCCATTCTCGAGGAGTCGACTGTTGTCCGTTTGATTTGACAAGCATGCAATTTATATTTACACACAAGACACATCCAGAGGGCCGGTCGTCCAACAATAAGACAAAACCACAAACCCTCTCGTAAAAACAAGTGATTCTAGGACAAAGACTCAGGCGGTCTGCTCTGGAGTTTCGCCCTCCGCCACGACGGGGACAGGCAGTCCTCGACTGGGACTCTGCAAAACGAGGGCCTCGTGTCTTCTTGCCCGCAAAAAGTCTGATACGGCCCGGATCAAAATAAACCAACCAATAATCATGAGAATGTAGGAAATCCAATCTGCGCTGGTGAAACCGCCCATGTTGCTGGATCCTCCCGGAGACTGATCTCCGCCCCCATTCACAGTACTGGGGTCGAAGCTGTGACTGTTCGGATCAGGCGGGCTGGAGTTTGAAAACTGCCCTGGATTTCCGGTGTCGGTCGGACTATCACTGGAGCCGCTCATATAGAAACCGTATTGTACAAGCGTCAGTCCGAGGCCGGCGCGACTACCATGTTTGGCTGCGTGAGTGGTATGAAGAAGGTAAGTGAGTAGGAAGCCGACGAGTTGAAAGGACATAGAGATCATGCCGTTCCACACAAATGAGAAAACGGATCCAACAGGCAGGCCATCGACATAGACCTCATCTGAGGACATCCCAGGTGCGAGGATTGTGGTCTCCCAGTAAGGGGGAGTCGCATCAGCAGCGGCTTGTTCATAAGTCTAACAGAAGTCAGCGAAATCATGCCGAGCGGTTTTGCGCAAAGATACATACAGGAGGCTTTTCTTCGAGCTGCTCGCCACGTTCAGGCTTTGCGGACAAATTTGCAAAAACTCCATCAGTGGCTCTCATGGACGCAGGCATAGGTCTGAAGGCAGGGAGTTCCGTCACTCTTCGTTCATAGGTACGCGCCGGCCGGGTTTCGGGAACAGCGGTTGAGGAGGGGGATGCATCTTGTCTGGAGAGTCCAGTGTCGGCTCTCATCAATCGTTGTCTGTCGTCGCCATCATTCTCGGCATCAGAAGCCTCTCCATCGTCAAAGGTGTCTTCCAAATGATCTTGATCGGCGTGAGTAGATAACGGATCCTGGGCCAATAGGCGCCTGGAGGAGGGTGAGGAGGCTCTGGATCGGAACGACGGTGGAGGCGAGGACGGAATGGGACCAGCAGTGTCTGGGGAGATAGGAGAATTGACGTCGTCGTCGTCGTGCGTGTTTAGCTGAGGAGTGTTAGTGATGAGACTGGCCGACCAGGCCGCAATGGTAGAGAATAACATACTGCTTCATATCGTTGAGGGGCCATTTCAGGCCAGGCAACCTCGTAGGTTTATCCCCAGTGCGCTCAAGCAAGCAACCAAAGATATTTCGAAACTGCAAATAAATGAGGAAAGTCGGATGGTGTATATAGGGTGACTTGAGGGAAATAAGGAAATAACGAGGACTTGGTAATGGACGAGGTGAGGGAAGGAATGATGTGGAAGTGGAAGGACAAAGACCCGAGGGCTGAGGGCGGTGTTTGAGATGCTTACAGTTAACGAATCCAGAGGGTTAAAGCGCAGGCGCAGGCGCAGGGTCATGGGGGAATAATACGGGCCACTGGCACTGCGGCCTTGGCCCTTGTTATTATTGTGGCCAGACACTGGATCGACCATCATCCGCCACCCACCACCACCCCCGTTTACGGCATGGTCCTTGATTACACCCTAGAGGCGTCATCAAAATTATTGCTAACGATCCTGTCAAGCCTGTCAAGGTCTCTGGTTCCGCAGCTCTGAGTGCTCGAGACTAGTTGATTTACAATCCAATTCCTCAGCTCTTCAACATGGCAGCTAATCAATCGGTACGTCCCTCTGAGAGAATCTCAAGTCAACCTTGCTCATATCTGTTCAGGTAGCTCTAAAGCACTGGGCGCGCATCATCAAGCAATGGCCGCTCGACCGTGTTCGCCCGTCTCATGTCCATTTCCAACGGGTCATGCAGTCCCGTCTACAAAAGCTCCAGTCAGGTGCGCCGGCTGCAGTTTCATCCATGTCCAACGATACCCTTGTGACGCCTGTCGAGCCGTTCAATGAGCAAAAGGAATTGCGACAAGTAAACGCTCTATACTCGCTGCTTGAAAATCGATACGCGAATGAGTACCCTATACCGCAGGCAGTCCGTCATCCCAAGACCAATGCTTCCCACTACGATGATTTGGTCAGAGAGCTGGATGAAGCACCGGGAAGATCATGGTTCACGTCCTTTTGGAACCGTCTCAAAGGGTCTGTGCGCCTGAGATAACAAAGGCTTTGGTGGACGGATGCCCTCGACTTCCACGCCTCCTAGATGAACAGACCCATCATACCCACCAGTTGCTTTGAAGAGAGCTTACATCTTCGAGTCGACGTGTCCTGGAAGAGCTAGGTATCTGGATTCTTGCTGAGTGACTGGGTTGAAGCTGTACGGTTAATTTATATTCAACTTCGACTTTGTTCTGGACCTCAATCCAGCCGGCAGCAGCATCGAATGAGAGTGACACAAACTATCGACCCGTGTCCATTTAAAGTTGTCGCCTCAATCTTGATCGAGGATGCGTGGTATCACCATGTTCTGGGGAGGCCAATGCATGATCGAATAGAACCGATCCCACCGATGAGGTCTAAAGGGCAGGGCGAATTCACCTCAGGGATGAGAGGGACACGCCCTTGCATCAGGACCAGTTCTGGTAGCCGCCCGTCACCTTGGCTTAGTCTCAACTGGATATATCTCACTATCAAGGGTCAAATGGTTCAAAAGAGGATACATGCGGACATGGTGATTGTTGAGTTCACCGGCCACTCCCAGTGTTGCATCAGATGAGTCTTGCTGGTATAGCCAGCACGCTGAGCGAACAACAAGATTATTTGTATGCTCGGCGGAGAAAGGACTGTCCCACGTTCAATGATGATTCGGCTAAGGAGTCGATTCTTCGTGAAATATACACCTAATGTGTTTGACTGGTGCGGCAAGGCCTCGGGGCGCAATGTGACAGACATAAGGTCGAGCCATGAAACATGATGGTGGCGTTACTCGGATATATGCTGTCCATAGTCCAACCCTGCCGCCCTTGGGCGCACTATCAGTCCACAGGTTCAATGAACAAAATGACATTCTATACATGTGTTTCAAACAACGAGCCCGTTTCTATGTTTTATATTTTACTGCCCAACCTCCCTGCGCCTCCCCCCATTTCCATGACGGCGACGCCCTCATCCTCCAGCGTCTCCGTCACGAATCTCACCATGTGCGGCACCATGCTCGGGGGCACATCATGCCCCACGCCCTCGAAAACGATGTCCTCGATGACGAACCCGCTGCCCTCGAACCACCCTCCCTTGCCGCTGACGGCTTTGAGCCAGTCTATGAACGGCTTCGAGTGCGCGTAGGGGACCAATTTGTCCGCGCCGCCCGAGAGGTTCAGGAGGCGTTTGTTCCCGAAACAGCGCGTCATGACGGGGAGCAGGATCGCGCGCTCCTCCTCGGTCAGCTCCGTGTGCAGCTTCTCCTGGTCCCGGCGCCAGTTCAGCCCGGGCAGCGACCACAGCAGGCCCGCCGGGTCGGACTTTTTCACCGCCTCGACCAGGCTGGGCGGGAAGTCTGTCGAGCCCAGAAAGTCCCGGCCCGGCGGGTCGGTGGATGTGTACGACTTGCGCCGCGACAGGCGCGCCCGGTCGGTCATGACGCGCGTGTAATCCGGGCAGCCGATGGTGATGACGGCGGCAGACACGCGCGGGTCGTGCATGAGGACGTGCCACGCCGCGTGGCCGCCGAGGCTGACGCCCAAGACGAGGTTCTGCACGATCCGGCGCGGGTCGCTGGCTCCGCCGAAGATGTACCCTGGCAGGTGGTCCAGCAGGAGCGACGTGTCGACCGCCGTGCCGGCGAAGCAGCTGAACATGTCAAGCGCGTGATGTTCGTTCCCGGACCGCCAGGCCTCGTTGGCAATCGCAGACACCAGGCGCGAGCCGTGGTTCCGCTGGTCGAACGTCACGGCGATGAGGCCCTTCGTCTTCTTCTTCATCGTCCCGCTCCGTGGCCTGGCCTGGGCCTGGTGCTTGTTCCACTCCGAGATGATGTGCGCTGCAAACGGCGCCATGCACGCCTGCGTCTGCAGACGAGGGTGCAACAGCCAGAGGACCGCAATGTCGGTGGTGCCCGAGGGGACCTCATCTAGACCGAAGACCGTCGCCAGAATCCCTGCTATATGGTGTGTACTTGACGATACCGGCTCCGGGTGTGGAATTGATTTGGCAGTGGATCCGCTATTTGCTGTGGGAGGAGCCCCGTAGGTCGAAGCCACAGGGTTGGACATTTTCTGCAGGCCGTGGCAGAGAGGAAGGGGGGAACAGAGTAGAAAATTTGTATGGAAGGAAATAATATGAGTGTCGAGGAAACGAATTGCTGGTACTACAACCACGTCGTATGTGCCGCGGTCTCGGCGATTTTGTCGAGACATGCGGGGACAATTTTTCGGGAATTTCCTGATTAGCGAGAATCGCACAATCGCCGTCACAGCCTCGTGTCTTCCGGATCGTCAAGCAAGTACTTGGTAAAAGACATAATCATCTATTCTCTGCGTTTCAGCATTGTGGAGTCGATATCTATGTAGAAGGTTCTTCGCCGATCTGACCCTCGCACATAGTAATTGGTTCCTCGAACTCCTCCGCTGTATGGGTTACAAAGGATAGAAGCATTCAGTCTAACCACCCTTGTTGACCCGACAGACTACAATCACAACGTTCGAAATGAAAGCTCTTTGCCATAACTCAAATCTAATCTTGCATCGGACAATTCGAAACTTGGTTAGTGCCAACAGAAGCCCTGATCTGTCATCTGTTGTACCTCGCTAGGGTCTCCATGATATTTTGTACGTTCTGTTGAGATTGTGGCCCCGCAGCATAAGCCGGTGCACCAGGTCCATAACCTTGTGGCTGTGGCTGCTGCTGATGATGATGCGGAGGACCGTGCGGCGACGGGAATGGTGCTCCTCCGTGGCCCTGCTGTTGGCGGGTGACATTGCTTAAAAGGCCTGCCAGGTCAGGGGTCGGTTTGCCATTTGGCACAATGTTCTCTGGCTGCCCATCACCCGGCTGTCGTAGATTCGCTAGCAGTTGCTGCAGATTTGGCGCAGCTGTAGCCGAAGTCGGAGTCACTGGTGTTTGTGCCGGATTATGATAGTGGGTGTTCTGGCCGTATTGAAAGTGGTTATGAGGTTGCGGCGGTGGCGGCGGCGGTTGTTGCTGCTGGTGGTGGTGTTGAGGGAAAGATGCTGGCGGGTATTGTGTCGGCGGAGGAGGATAGCCATATTGAGAATACCCCTGTGACTGATAGGACTGGGGGCTTTGTTGCACACTTCCCCGTTCCTTTTGTCGGGCATGGAGCACAATATCTGCGGCAACGGGGACATCAAGATCAACATATTCGTTAAAGTTGACATTCGACGTCCCTTGACTCCGATCAAAGACCTGTAAGGGTATCTTGCTGTTGTACTGGTTGGCTTGCGTCAGTTTCACCACAGCCTGCACACCTTCGATGATCTGCCTCTTCACGACTGCGTTCAGAGGCAGTCGAGGGCTGAGCCATATCGTTGAAGCACGTAAACCTTTGTTGCGGAAACCTTGTTCGATCCAGTTCATGAAGCTTGGAGCCACCGAAGGCTCCAGGATGAGCAGTTGCACGTCCGGCACATCTCGTGGATCTCTGCGAGGTAAGGGGAGGGTGGCTTCCTCATCGTATCCTGCCGAAGGTGGATTTGAGAAGCTGGGAGTAAAGGGGGAATTCGGTCTCCCACCACTTCCATAGCGGGGGCTTTGAACAGGTTGCCGGTAGTCATCTCTGGATCGATAGGCTCTGGGCGAGGGGCTCCGTCGGTACTCCTCGCGCCTACCTCTCTCGTCTCGAAAATCACTATAGTTAGGGCGTCCAAATCGATCGGTCTGACGCGAGGTACCACGATCTGGTGATCGAGATCGGCGTCTTTTGTTTCCTTGTTGGCCTTGCTGGCTTCGTGTGTTCTTCTGCGGCTTCGATATCTCAAGATGAATCTTCCTTCCTCTAATTTCAACCCCTTGTTCCGCTTGAAGCGCTGCTTGACACGACGAGGCCTCAAGATATTGCACGAAGCCATAGGCCTGTTTAATGGAGATCTGGGCAAGTTTCCCGTGTTTGTGGAAAATGTGGAAAATATCACGTTTGGTGACCTTTTCACTGGGCAGATTACCAACAAAGAGACGTGAACCGTGGGGGAATTTGTCCCATATTCCTTCTGTCACATACCTCCGTTCATCTTCAAGGAAAGAATCATACAGCGCTTGTGTGCTGGGGGTCCACGGGCGTTCATTCGCATCAAATGTTCGTCCTTGTTCCGGTGCCTGGAGAGACTGGGCAGGAGAGGTAGGATCCGTGCTTGTGGGTGATGCTTGAATGCCAGAATACGCCCAAGTGCCCGGGGCTTGCATCGGCACGGCTTGAGGCTGAAACTGCACAGGCGCCAGGGCAGCTTGTTCGGTGCCATTGGTATTGGCGTGATCCGCACTCACTTGTTGATATTGGCCCAGTTGATCGTTGTTGGAGTTAGGAAATGTGACAACAGTGGGAGAATCTGAGGATTGAACTTGGGTCGGTGGCTTAGGGGGTAAACCTGGAATAGGGAGCAATGATTGGGTTCCTTGGTTGGCAAGCGAAGCGGCAGTAGTTGGGGCAGAGACAGATTCTGCAGCAGGAGCAGTAGAAGCAGATTTAGAAATGGTATCCAGAAGCGACTGATAGTCTACTCCACCTTCATGTGCTTGGAAACCCGGCCTCACGGCGAGATCTGACCCAGGCGCGCCCTCTCCATTTGCTTGTGCATTATCGCTGGTATCTGGATTGGCAGAGAGATCAGTGGCCGACGAAGTATCATTGCTCGGTTGAGTAGGACCTTGGATTTGGCTGGCAGAACCTAGAGGCGGATTGGCATGGGCTTCAGATGACTGTGGATACGCAGAAGCGTTTGCAAGGGCTGTGAAGAGATTGGATTCGATGCCGACATCATTCTGGACCATGTGTCCGTTTGTGGAGGAGAGCTGGGCAGCCTCATCCAGACGGGTGTTTTCCTCTTCGGCGCCTCTTAGAAAGTTTTGGACCACGTCTTGCTCTTCCGAGGTTTGATTCGGTTCATTCTCATTCATAGCGCGAGCAGAGTCTGAGTAAGGAGAAAAAGTTTGGTTATGAGGGATATTATAGGTCTCGGTGTCATTGAAGACCGGATCCATCTGGTTCAGCAGTACCGGGATTGTTGAAGGTTCAGGAATATGGACCGGACGAGGAGATTCGGGCGTCTGAGATCTACCAAAGCGTTGGGCCTCTGGGGGAGGGTCTGCATCAGTCATTTTGAGGCTGCGAAGGCGGTGCAAGTCATGTTCAGGGCAAGGTGAAGGAGAAGGCTGCCTGATCAGGCTGTTGACGCGGGGAAAGGCTGAAGAAAAGTTGGACAGGTCAAGAGCAGTCCGGCGACATCAGCGCATCAAAAGGAGACAAGAAGGAATAGGAAATGAAGACTGAGCTTGAGGATGATGGTAGATCTAGCGATCAAAGGCCTGTCAAAAGTGACGCGAAGTTGCTCTTGAACGACTTGGAAAAAGTACCGCGCAATTAGCAGGAGTCGCAAGTCGCAAGACAACAGAAGAGATGCAGTTGCCCTATTTCCGTTCCGATTTGCCAACTAGCCCATGTGTGGTTAGCGTTGTCGGGAAACTTGCCATGACAGGGGATTTTGTGAACTGGGGACGTGACGTGAACCCGACAATGCTATCTGTGGCAATTTGCGCGTCAGGAATAACATGCGTGGTTCGTGGCCGACGAGAACTGTCTCTAAGTCGCTGCAATTTTGGAGATCCTACTCCGCCAAGTCTGGGAGCCTAGAATCTGACTACACGGCGGCAAGGGAGTGGTACAGCAGGCTCAACACATTACAGTCTTTGCGCGACATCGGAGAGGTGACTTATGCCAGATCCAGCGGTCCTGGTGGTCAGAATGTGAACAAGTACGGTCAACTTCAATTTTTGGACGCTGAAAGGTTCTGACTTGGTGGCTATAGAGTCAACTCAAAGGCACAATTGCGTGTCCCTATCGATCATCTCCTTCCTCTAATCCCTGTTGTTCTGCATCGAGGTATCTTGTCCTCCCGGTATTATGCTGAGAAGTCGTCGAGCTTGGTCATCCAGGCCGATGAAAGTCGAAAGGCTCAAGCAAACAAGGATGCCTGCTTCCGGAAGCTCAACGAATTAATATTGGATGTGTACAATGCTGCCGTTCCTGGTGAGACGACAGAGGAACAGAAGGAAAAGGCCAAAAAGTTCCAAAAGGCAGAAAATGAAGCTAGACTGAAGAGGAAGAAAATACAATCCAGCAAGAAGCAGTCAAGATCAAAGGGAGATATGGATTGACTAAGTCGATGCAGGTCCACCCAAGGACTTGATAACAGATTCTGCCACAACCCTAATCGCCGGATCCAAGTCTGGTGTGTGCAGGAGCTTCTCGAGCGATGATTTGGCCCAGCCGACCAACTCAGGGGTTTCGGAACTACTCCGAGCCTTCTTCAGTCGTGCGAGCATGTCCCTGAGAGCAGAGGGGAAGTCGGGAGAATCGTGGGGGACCGAAACAAGTGGTAACTGTATATGGCATGCCTGGGTGCACCAACTCTGTGGATATTCTCTTGACAAGAATGCCGCTACATGGTCCGCAACCTTGCGACAAGCCGGGATGCCGTCATAATCGAGAAGCACATGGCAAAAGTCCAAGCCGAATCTGGGATCACGGAAGTGGGCGATAGCAGCGTCGAATATCGCAATCGGAATGGCACCACTCAGCGCAGGTGTTGATTCCAGTTTTTGAAGCGCAGAGCGGTCAACGTCGTCACTCTCACTGTATGGGGAGATGTCCAAAGCCGTCAGTCTCGGCAAGCGAAGAAGATTCTCATCTGTATCCCCCTGCTCTGTTTGTCCTGGTTGATCGGGCTTTCCGGCGGTGATGCCCAGCACTTCTCGACGGAGATGAATTTTTGCGATGTAAGACATTTCCAGCCGGGCATACTCTAACCACATTGCTTTCGATCCTCTGCAAAACCGCAGACCGCGTTGCATGTAGCTCCTCGCTTCCGTAATATCACCATTATCTTCCATCGCATATTGGGCGGCGTGAATCCATAAGTCGGACTTTGTAGGATGTAACCGAAGGACCTGAGTCAACATTTCCTGCAACTTTTTGTAGGCCTTCTGCTTTCTCGCAAAGTCTATTGCCTCCATCCAAAGACCAATGTCACCGGGATGCTTGCGAGTTCCGCGATCAAAGACGAAGAAGATGCGACGCTTGCCATTGTGTGCGGTGGACTTGACTCCCAATCTCTTCACTCTCTTGCGCCTCAATGCGTCAACGTTTATCTCGAATTCAGCATAGCGAGCGAAGTCCGCGGGCGTGGATCCTCGGGCGTTGATCTTGTGCTCGAAGTCGGAGCGTTTGCGGGCAATGCTGGTAATCTCTTCGGCGCTGAAGATGCCTTTGCGTTCGTATTCTTTCAACTCTGGTATTGACTGCTCGAGGAAGAATCGGGCCTTGTCGCTTGCAGCAGCCATAATATTGCACTTGTACGTATTTCTGGTGGAATTTGCAGAACCAAATAATGGTGGAGGGCTGATGTTGCGGAACTTTTTTTCTGGCCAGGAATAAGTTGACCCGCAGTTTTCCCGCTTGGTTACTGGGCTGCAGATAATAATAATCAGGGGGTGCGAAGGTGACTGAACTCTCATCTCTCCCCCATGCGCAGTGAGTAGCATTAACTTCTTGCAGCTTTCATACGCCTTCTTGTCACTCTTTCATTCTCTTCTTTTTTCTCCAGATGCGGCTGGCAGTCTTTTAATCCCGCTGATACCTCAAAATGGCGCCCAGGAAGGACGGGGACGTGGTGTTCTCTGTGAGCACCCAACACAGCCGTTCTCCTTTTAGAGGTAACTGACGGTTCGCAGTTCAACGGCAAATGGGTGTCATGGACGCATACAGTTGTCGCATATGCAGCCTTTCTCGGAGCATTGATTGTTGGTGTTTCCCTCCATTACCACAAAATTGTCCAGAACGAACACTATGGATACCCCGATGAATGGTTTCCCTCCGTTTCGGCCACCATTGGTGATCGATATCCTGAGCGATCGGTCTTTATGGTCTTCATTGCCATTACTTCCGGACCCCGATTTGTCCTTGTTGCCTTGTGGTACTTCCTGACGAGGAAACCGAACTCGAATCTGCCGGCGATAATTGCATCCACGGGGTTGCTAAGAACATTGACATGTGGAGGATGGACATACGTGACATCTACGGACGACCATGACTGGCATGATATTTTCATGATTTCATACCTGGTTTTTACGCTCCCGTGGACATTGGGATGCCTTGCTTTGAGTCCGCCCAATCCGAAGGCTGTCAAATACCGCAAAATTTTGGCGAGCTTATTCTTTGGTACTCTTGTACCCTTGATCTACTTCTTTATCCAGCATAAAATCCATAAAGTCGCTGGCGGTGAGTCTCTCAGGCACGTTCTAGGGCATTAGCTGATTTGTCAAGCTTACACCATCTACGCTTTCTTCGAATGGTCTCTGATCTTGTTCGATGTGGCTTTTGATGCTGTCACTGCACTTGACTATGAAACCTTTGAATTCGTGATCAAAGATGTCAAGGGCTCCACCAGAGGGTACGTGCAGTTGCTCCCAAAATACGTAAATGTACGGACAAGTCGAAGTTTGGCTTGGTGATTTACTGACAGTGCTCTAGTGATACGAAACTATTGAAGGATGCTCTGAAAGACAAGGAGTGAGTTCAACTATATTATTCTGTTGGCTCTGCTAATAGACCCCAGCCGCGCAAACCCTCTAATTCAGACCTCCACCGTTGATGGACCGTACTATTGGCCGGCAATGCTCGATGCGACCGCCGACATTCTCCACGGATTTTTCTTCTGGTCTATCCTAACATCCCTCGGCGTTCTGATATGGTACTTCCCGCTATGGCATATGGGAATCTCTGGTTACGAAGTAATGGTCATGGTTCCTGCTTCTCCTTTGATTCTTGCCGTCCCGTTTGTTCGGTCTCTTGCGATCAAGCACCTTCGTTGGCTTCATATGTCTTCCCTAGTCGGACTCGTGGCTTGGTTGGTGAAGGATCCGGCATACCGTTTGTTCACTGTTGGACTTGCTGTCGCATTGGGTTCCATGGCCTGGTCAGCAGAATGGTACGCAGAACGCAGAAATTCGGCTCGGCTTCAGAGGAGAATTTTCGCGTGGTGCATTGGATTGGTGCTGTCGAGCATTGCGAAGTTCGCAAATCACACGAACAACCCTGTCTGGCCGGTACTGCACTCCGGAATCGGCGGCTGGAACAAGACTGGTCTGGTCATAGCCCTGGCGGCTGTTTGGCGATCCACCCGACCAGATACGTCCAGTGGAGGAGACTATGTTCCTCCAGGTGTGAAGAAAGGGTCAAGTGTTTTGGCTGCGCTTGGTCTGGGGGGCCTCTTTTTTACCATGCATTCGTTGCTCTCAGACTCTAGCACTATGATTCTCTGGGTCTGGGAGGGCTACCCTGTGCGAGGTCCATTGGCTGTTCCCCACGGTGCGGTCACGATTGCCGCGATGAGCCTTGGATTGTTCCTAGGAGCTGCCCTCCCCGGATTTTTTGGGTCGTGGACAGCCTACGGGTTGGGGGCTGTTGGCGCAGCCTTACTAACATGTTACAGCGAGTGGACCGGCTACTACGGCGGTCTGATGCTTGCTTTCTACACGATGGGAGTCGCTCCGGTGCTTATCTCTTCTGCGGCTCAACACAGCCCGGCGTCTACATTTGGCTTGGGCTACTTTGTGTACAACATCATGGTTCTCTTCCACGTCTGGGTTGTGGCATATGCATTTGTCCCTGGAGGACCTCTAGTCCGAGAACATACAGACTGGGTGATGATCACCACAATGCTCCTGATCGGAGCAGGTGTGTTTTCTGCTTTGACCAGCAATTCGAGCTATCAACCGAAGAGCAAGTCGAGTCCTCGCGGAAGGAAGCAAACCAGCTACTACCTTCATGTTCTGCTTGCTTTACAGCTGTTGACGGCCTCGATTGCGTATTTGCGTTTCCCAACATATGATTATACACCCTACCATCCCGACGAGAAGCTTATCACCGCCGGAATCTGGACCATCCACTTTTCACTGGACAACGACGACTGGTCATCCGAGCGGAGGATGCGCGATGCCATCAAGGAATTGGAGCTAGATGTGGTCGGATTGCTGGAGTCTGATTTACAACGGATTATCATGGGCAACCGCGATACCACACAATATCTTGCCGAGGACTTGGGCATGTACGTGGACTACGGTCCAGGGCCTAACAAGCATACGTGGGGTTCAGCACTCCTATCCAAGTTCCCCATTCTCAACTCGACTCACCATTTGCTCCCTTCACCAGTCGGTGAGCTGGCGCCAGCCATCGAAGCTACCCTGGATGTCTACGGAACACAAGTTGACGTTTTTGTTTTCCACTCCGGACAAGAGGAAGATCCCGAAGACCGACGTCTTCAGTCGGAGTATTTGTCCCAGCGGATGGGGGCGACATCCCGACCCGCAATCTTGCTCAGTTACCTCGTGGTCAAGCCGGGAGAAGGCAACTACAACACCTATGTGAGTGAAGTGAGTGGAATGCACGACATTGATGCTCGTGATTGGGACCGGTGGTGCGAGTATATATTGTACAAGGACATCAAGCGTGTGGGCTATGCCCGGGTCAGCAGGGGTACCATCACAGACACCGAGATCCAGGTAAGCGCACATTGAGACACTGCTTTACTTTCGATTGGACATGACTAATGCAATGCAGGTGGGCAAATTTGTGGTTGGCGAGCCGGTTTCATATACGGACGAGAGGATTCCTGAAGAACAAGTCCCGCCCGGGCGAAGGTTTCCAGCATTGTTCCGTGGCGAGGGTGTTCGTGGACATCGATACCACGTCTTCGATGAACCATGGTATTATGCCTAAGGAGGATTTATGTGCTGGGGATGATCTAGTTGTACTGTAGCATGCATGATAGGCCCGGAGCCTAATATGATGCGACCACAAACACGCCGCCCTGTTCCGCTGTAGCTAATCACAGTCTTGACAACTGTGGGTCTGATGCATGTCTTATCGTTATCGCGAAAATAATGCGGGGTCACTTGGAGCGAGGCACCCGCAGGCGGCGCCAGGCAGTGGCCGGCATCATTACAGCAGCATCATTGATTGACTCGAATAGTGACTCGGGCGGTGACTCAATCTGTCAACGTGACCTTGGATGATTCGCATTCAAATGCCCTCCCCCAACCCTTCTTCTAAACACGTTAAGACTTCCTTCTTCCCAATCCACACCACTCTCATGTACATCACATACCGGTAATCACTTACAGGCTGGTGATTTCCTTTGCTGTTATCGGAGCTTGGTGGAAGGCGTTTCTATAATCCTCTTCACTTGCCTTCACTTCTGGGCCTTGTCGACTTCCGCAGGTGGTGTGGTTATAAAATGGCTGATTCCTCTGCTCCTCCTCCTCCCGGCTCCCGTGCCATCAAGATACCTTTGCATCCTGGTAACTCTGGAGATTACTCTCCGTCGAATCGACGGCGACGAAGTGAACGTTACCTCCAAAATGCGGAACGAGCCGATGCTTCAGATGCTGGACCATCCTCGTTAGGCTCCGGATCTGACCAAGATACGCCTTGGTCCTACAGTCCTATTCCCACACGTCCTCAACATCTGCTCCAAAACATTGCTCCCTCACCGGGCGAGGGGGTCCGTCTGCCTAGTCCGATGCATTCCAAAGACCAGCCCAGCACATCACAGCGGAAAGACAAGCACAAGGCTGGCCTACCACCGCCCAGCAGCATGCCAATGCTCTTTAACGCTTCCTCCTCTCCACTCGGTCCTTCGATGCTCTCTTCCTCCTCGTACAAGTCCATTAATCTGAATGCACATCACGACGATCCCGACGAGCCTCCTCGACTGATCACCTACACAAAATATAGCCAAGGGTTTACATGGAATGATGAGTTGTTCTTGCCGAGCTATATGCTTGGACGCTATGGGGAGCGGGGTCGAAAGAAACTCTACGACGGCGACTTTGGAGACGACGAACACTGCCCAGTGGCTGAGATCTTTGTAACGGACGAGGAGGCGGAGGCAATGATCCCTTGAACACACCCGGGGATGGATTACTCGAAGATATGATGTACGAACCGAGTCATGATATACAACGACAGCAATGTCGGTCCGGACGGCGTCTCAGGACAGGAACATGAATGGATGAGTCCACGTTGAAGGTTGCTTGATTTTGGGTTGAATTGTTACGCTGGGAAGGATAGGGCACATTCTTTTGGATTTTAGCAAGACTACGCTGGGAACACACGGAGTTTGGGGGATTGGATAGGCTACTGACCCCCTCCGGGCACAGAGGAGGGACTGATTCCTATGGGTGGTTAAGGCAGTAAGGATTATCTCGACTCAAGACACCAGCGCTACTCCGGCCACAGGGAGGCGTTTGAGGCTGTTCTGAAGGCTGGACGACGGGCTCTATATTCTATCTCTTGTGCAACGACTCCCTCGTCCGAGCCATTCTGGTAACTAGTCATTAACACTGGAAGTGATGTATATTTTCACACTTGATCTGTCTCGGGTTTCGCTTCCCTTTTCAACCAGTCTCAAACCTGTATTCTTGACCAACGCATGCACATGCAAGCCCTTGCAACATTGGGAGAGGCCCAGATGCACTGGTGTCCGCGGATCAATTAGGCCCGGCGCAGGCACCCAAGGCCCATCCACCGGTGTCACCACCCGCCCCTGGCGCCGAGCCGATGTCAAAAGTGGGCATTTATTCTCTCCTTAGGCACAATGGCATTCCTATCCTTGTCAGTAATATTGGCTCCTTGTATACTTGATCTGCCGGCCGCCTCGTCGCTATTCAGCCCGAGACGGTGTCTTTTCTCTGTCAGACCATGTCATTCTTTTCTTCCAGAGGCTCGCCGCATGCATGGCGTCAATTGTGAATCTGATGGATCCATTTGCTCGAACCGAAGCATCCAATGGGTCACTAAACAAAGAGCCAGCATCTAATCCGTCAAAACCCGCAACTGAACCCATGTACCGCGTCTCACTTGGCGATGCGCTGGCAATACGGCCTCGACTTGCATGCAACAGGTTGTGAAAGGTACATGCACCCACTGGAACTACCGCCGAGCGAATGACTTTGTCTATCGACAACCACGTCAATTCGGCCGAGGGCCGCTATGCACCTGGGTGGAAACCGCTATGTCCCTACTGTCTGAGGTATTTGATGGTTTCAATTACCACTTCGCCCACCGGGGTAGTGAAAGACAATGTCTGTTACTTACCCAACAGCCTCCTATCGATCAGAATCTGTCATTTGGCTGAAGCACTGGGTAGGAGTTCACCAAGACACACCTCTTGGGCTTCATGCCTATCCTTTGACATCAAGGACATTACTATCCGTTTTTCCAAGCACACAAGCGGATCACGGTAGCCGGCTAAAATGGCTGGGGATCTCGTCTCACTCGTGAATGAGCTCTCACAACTCGCTAACAACTATGTGCCTACCACAAGCCATGATGCCGCGTCTCTCGCACCGAAAGCGGCTCTTGTCAGTCTCACTAGGAAGATTATGCATTCTCTAATGGACCCAGGAATGATGGTACAAGCCCACTCGTTGCAAATGGCCGAGTTGGTCTCTATCCGTACGCTATTGGACCTTAAGGTGTTTGAGAAGATGCCAGTCGAAGAAGGAAAGACCATCAGCGCCAGGGAGTTAAGTGAGGTATCCGGTGTGCAGGATGCGCTGCTTGGTAAGGCTTCTGTTCTACTTTGAGTCTCTGCTGGTGATAAAGTCACCATGACCTCGCCTGAGCAGAGAAGGTCAGTTGGTTAGGGGTGAAACTGACACAATGGTGTCCAGAAAGACTACTGCGCCCTCTGGTTGCTTCAGGATTCATAACCCAGTCGTCCAACGATGGCACCTATGGATCCACCAAGTTCTCCCAGGCGTATACTTCTTTCCCCGGAATGTTCTTTACCTTGATGTTTGACCACTTCCTCCAGCCCATGACGGACCTTCCCAAGTACCTGGCAAAGCATGGGGCCGTGGAGCCGACATCTTTCTACGTCAATCCATACTCGGACTACCACAACGCAAGCGACTCTGGGTTGACGACGTGGGAAATCATGTCCAAAGATCCGGAGAAGTTGAAGACATTCCAGCTGGGGCTGAAAATCGGCGACAATTTGGTCCCTATTATCGGATACTACGACTTTAATCAACTGAAATTAACCGAAGAGGAGTTGCAGAAAACCCCCGACCGAGCTGCTCTGGTGGATATCGGTGGAGGAGTGGGGAACACTCTAAAGAAGGTCCTGGACGAGTATAGGCAGCTTGATCCCGGAAATGTGGTTTTACAAGATCAAACGGATGTTATAGCAATGGCTGAGAAAGAGAAGATTCCTCCCGAAGGAGTCAAGCTGATGGAGCACGATTTCTGGACCGAGCAGCCCGTCAAAGGTGAGTCCCCTGGGGCCAGGACAAAAATTAAGAGACCCTACAGGTCTTGATTCTTGCTGTTCTTCCAGTCTCGATGGCCATGCAGCTGACTGATCTCGCACAGGCGCCAAAGCGTACTTTTTCCGACGAGTCTTCCACGACTATAGCGACGAACTCTGCGCCAAGGCGCTCAACCAGGTCATCCCGGCCATGGCGGCCGACTCGCGCGTCCTCATCGCCGACATGCTCCTTCCGGAGATCATGACGGACAAGGAGGCCCACACGGCCGCGCTGGACGTCGCGTGCATGGTCATGGGCGGCAAGGAGCGGACCGAGGCGGACTTCCGCAAACTGTTCGACAGCGTCGGGCTCGAGGTTGTACAAATCCACCGCGCCCCAGGGGGGGCCGCGGGCATCGTTGAGGGGAAATTGAGGGCGACGGCCTGAATTGAGATATCATATCGTGGCATAGCCGATGACGAGGGATCGCGCCGTGAGGGCTGGACGAGCGATATAGGGTGCGATTCAAATGCAGTTCTCAGGAACTACGAGTAGTTTATGCTTGGAGACGATCCCAGTTGCATATCGACTATTGTTGCCTTCACAGCTGTGACTGATTATTTGTTCTTGCTATAGGCGTGCTCGCTACGGGCAATTTTCGACCCTTTCGTCATTTGATCCGATCCTAGGGAACACATCTATGATGTACCAAGAGTGGACACTGGGGATATATATATATTAATGTATACCCTCCAGCCCTGAGACGTCCATATCGCCCTATATGTTCCCCCCCTTCCTCGCTCTTTCCTAGATCTCCGAGCCCCTGATATCTGATCCCTTCACTCGGTGCTGTCTCATACATGACTCGACACGACAGGATACAGAACACATTTCGTAAGCATGAAATTAGGGTGGAGGGGTCAGAGGACGTCGGACACCATTGTAACCTAGAATATCGGTATCGACCGAGTGATTACAGGTATGGTCACATTGTTAATCTACCAATTATCTCATCTCATCTCGTCTCATCTCGTCTCATGCTGGACATCCGAAGAGGAGGAGGAGGAGGAGGAGGAGGAGGGGGAGATGTTTAGGGTTGTATCGTCGTCGTCGACGTCGACGACGCAATAGCTCCGGGGAGATGCCCGCGTTCAAGCACACAATTTCGGGCGGACCGTGGGGTCTCGTGGACCCAGTCGAAGAGAGACACCCGGTCGTCCCACGAGGTGACGTCGCAAGATCCGATACGAAAGCGTTCAGTCCGATGGTAGCCGCCGCAGCACGCGGCTTTGGCCTCGTCCAGATCTGCGAGGACGACGAGGACGACTCGGGCGCCTCATCGTCTATCACATCTCAAACGTCCTGGGCCTTCGGCTGGGGGAACTCGCTGCTCGCTTTCCTGGCCCCCTCACTCACCATGGTGCCACTGCCACTGCCGCTGTTCTTCATGAAATGGGGCTGCCTATTTCCGAGCCCACCCCCGGATTCCAAGTTAATTTCTAGAGTCGACAAATTGACCAGAAAAGTCACATGGGGTCGAAGTGGACTGATTTGGCTAGTCCACCCGATCAAGAGGAAAAGGTATGTCACTTTTTTCCAAGTGGTGACTCAAAGTAAGGAAAAAGGGGGAGTACACTCTCAATTGGAGGAGAGAAACAGGGTCTGAAGAATACAAGTGTGTGAAAAAATGAAGAGGATATAAATCTCTCCATCACGCACTGTGCTTTGAAAATTGAAGTCGTCGAGAGACTAAAACTTCATGTGAAAGGAAAAAAGGGGCGGTTCAGCCTTGTCGTTGTTCAGCACGTGACCATATAATCAGCCCCGCCTAGATACCATCGAGCCATATAAGTACACACAGATATAGTCTGCTCTGCACCTTTGGAGCCCCTATCAGTAGGTCTTTAACCCAATCGTATTCCTCCAAGGGCTGGCATAGGAAGAAGAGCAGGGAAGAGACGCTAGACGTGCCAGGTGGAGCGCGACGATTGCTCCATATAGTAAAAATAGCAAATTCGGTGTGTCTCCGTTGTTGTGCCATCTTCTGCTAAGGAAGAGGCTTGACGCCGGTATTTTATCGACAAGTGCTGTCCACTGATCTATGTCCGGTCACGCCAATCGATTTTCATACGGCCCTTTGTAATACTGTGGTGTGGTTGGTTTACATTTGTATCATTCACCTCAGATTCAAATTCGACTTTGGCTCAATACGGCTTGCACCTGCGCATCGTAGGTGCTCCCATCCTCCACGTGTAGTCCCGGGTCGATGTGGTCTGCAAACAGATGAATCTTTCTCGCAGCATCTTCCGACCGAGGAGTTATTCTGCATTTGAACGAGGCGCAACCTAGGACTGGAAGTGCTCCCACTAAACGAAAGAGGGTCACTGTTAGCTCGAGCTTTCCGTCTTCAATTCCCGACATGATCCCGTGGCAGAGGCCGAGAAGGGAGATTTAAGGCCAAGCACTCTTGCATGACTCACCTGTTTCATCGCTTGGAGGAGGGTTGTCACGTTCAATGTCAAAGGCCCACAGAATCCGGCTAATAACAATGAACAGGCTCGAATCCGCAACATGCTTGCCGGGGCATTCTCTTCTCCCGAGGCCGAATGCAAGGTGATTGGCCGTCTTTGCACCGTCGTGGATGTGCCGCGGGTCTTCGGGCGAAAGCCACCGTCCTGGAAGAAACGCAGACGAGTTCGCAAAGTACTCATCCGAGTGATGCACAGCGTACGTATTCGGGATTACCACTGTGGATTTGGCAATGGTGGTGCCGCGGTACGTATCGTTCTGGGAGGTGGCATGGAAGAATGCCAATGGTGTGACGGATGCCCATCGATGAAGTTCCGAACCACAGCTGTAATGTATGGCAGACTTTCCCTGTCACTGAAATTGGGCAAGCGATCTCTCCCAACGACAGTATCCAGCTCTTTTTGGGCCTCGGGGATCCATTCCGACTGTTTGGCACACAACTTGAAAAACCATTGCAGGGTCGTCGCCGTCGTCTCACTGGGTGGTCCACGTCAGCGTCCAATCATTGGACCAGACAAAAGCGAACATTTGTGTGAAGCGGAAAACTTACGTGCCCGCCGTGAGTAGCTCGGCCGCCACAGTGATCCGTTCAATCTCGCTCAGATGCTGTGATTCAGGATCTTGGATAAATCTGCTCAGAAAGCAATCCGGCGCAGTACCTTCCCTGACTCGCTCTTCGATGGAATGGAAGAATACGTTCCAGAAGTTGCGCAATTCCAGATGAATAGAGTATGCTTGGGACCTCCAGGGAGCAAGGAATCCAGGAAGATAGTCCAGGAAGGGATAGAGGTCGACAAGCCAGGCTCCCGGCGTGATATCTGGGGCTGATTAGAATCTGGACCGGCCACAGTAGTCCCAGATGTCTTGAACATACTGTTAAAGAATTTCTGCATCATTTCACCAATTATCCTGCGATGCTTTTAGCCCCGAGTGGACTTTGTGTCTGAACCGCGCAACCCACGGGAAGGCATCGTTGAAATTGCAATGGAGGATTCGACTTACGTTGGGAGGAAAGCATCCGAGCGGTCAAAGCGAGCGCCAACTCTGTGATAACACCTCCAAATGCATCAGGATACAATATAAAACTCTTTCGACAATCATGAACCGGCACTTACAAAAGCGAGAACGTCACACTGGCCGAGTACCGCGACATTTCCGAGTAGAAGAGTTCAGGACTGTGCAGCAGGTTTCTCAGAGTTTGGCGACTCTCATACTCCTGGTAAGGGAGGAAGATCTTTGCGTTCTGTATTCCGAGAAGTGTGTGGATGATTTTACGGTGCTTCTGGGTTGAATCAGTTCTCTTCGACCTGCGTTTCGATGGATGTAAGACAGGTGGACAGTACCCTGAACTCTTCTCCATATGGCATGTTCACAATCCTTGCCTTCCCGGTAATGATGTCTGCCTGGGACGAACTCGTCGGGCGCGAGCTGTAAATGTGACCCTTCTTGATCAGGAGCTCCTCAATAGCTTGCATACTGCTGAGCACGATTGCGGTAGAGCGGCCTATTCGATATGAGAAGAAGTCTCCGTATGTTTTTGCCCACAGATCAAGGTAGAGGTGAAGTTTGGTGCGGCGGTCTTTCTCATTGAGAAGTACTCGAGGGCTGTCTGGGAGGTTAAACTTGGTGGACGGTCTGAGGGCAACATAGACAACCAGGAGGGTAAGTACAAGGGCGAGTGGCCAATACATGGTGACTATCGACGTCTCCTTCAAAAGTGCTCTCTTCAGCTTTGTTACCCCTTCTCGCCATAGAGGTGTTACCCCTTATATGCCAAGTTTGGTCGTTATGAGAGCCACTCCATCAACGAGCGGTTGACCGTCCTTCGCCGAAGAAAAATCTGTTTATAGTTGCTCAGGTAAGCCGGGATTGACACGAACACCGAACAATAGGGTTATATTGAGAGCACAGAGCAGCACTTGAAGCGACTTCGATGGCGGTCAGCCGTGCAAACAGCAAACCAAGGATCGACCGAAACTTACCTCTTTGATCTATATTATCGGGTTTGGGAATCACCAAAATAAGCCCCGACGCCGAGGATCGAGATGTTGGAAGCCACTGTTCAACCTTCCCTGGAGGTGGAAATCATTCAGTCCCCAATCCCCAGTCCTAGAGAAGGGGAACTTTTGATCAAGGTGATTTGCACGGGTTGTAATCCGTGAGTCCCCAGACTTCAAAGCACATCATCTTTTTGAAAAGAGCCGCTCTCAATGGTGGAAGGATCCCCACTAATGAGACATTCTGCAGCAAGGACTGGAAATCAGTGGTATACAGCAATAGGCCATCCAATTCTGGAGACGATACAGCGGGGATAATCGAGCAGGTTGGGGAAAAGGTAGTCGGTTTCCGGAAAGGGGATCGGGTTGCTGCTTTTCATCAGATGCGCACAGCCCACGGCAGCTTCGCAGAATATGCCATCGCCCCCGCGCATACAGCTCTTCATCTGCCGGACCAGGTATCTTTCGAAGAGGTAAGCGAATGAGACCCTCGGTTAGGCCACAGCAAACAGGCTGACCCTTTGTTGCGTGGGCAGGCAGCAACTATCCCTCTTGCTGCATTCACGGCGGCCGTTGGGCTATACCACTGCCTGCAATTGACACCACCATGGGAGCCGGCCACGGCTTCTATTCCTCTCATTGTCTATGGCGCTTCGAGCGCTGTTGGGGCCTTTGTGTTGAAGCTCGCTTGCAGATCAAACCTGCATCCAATCATCGCCATCGCCGGTAATGGAAAGACCGTGGTGGAGACCTTGATTGATCGGTCGAAAGGGGACGTGGTCGTGGACTATCGTGAGGGTGAAGAGTACATTATAAGCCGGGTGCGTCAGGCATTGGAAGAGCGAGGCATTGAATCTGTCAAACACGCTTTCGACTGTATCTCGGAGCATGGATCTCCAGAACTGATGGCTCGATTGCTTGCCCCCAATGGACACGCGACCTTCGTCCTCATCGAGAAGGACTATGGGCTTGTGGCTGAAAAGATTCTCACCTCGCTCACTTACGTGGGCTATGTCCATACAGGGCCTTTCCCTGTCGATGCCAAGTTGGGCATCAAGTTCAATCCGCGCAGACATGGGCATGATTTTGGAGCCGTCTATGCGAGTGTCCTGGCGAGGGGATTGATGGATGGCTGGCTCACTGCGCATCCCTTTGAGATTGTGGCAAACGGGTTGAGAGGTCTGCCAGTAGCACTGAGGAATCTGCAGCAGGGAAGGGCGAGTGCAAAGAAGTATGTGATGCGTATAGATGAAACAGACCTGAAATGATAGATTTCAAGGGGCGCAGCATCTCAAGGCGCAGTCTGGGGCTACCGTTCTTCGCACATTGAAGAATGACCTGGGGAGGCGTGGGTACCATGGCGCCAACTTGTAAGTGCCTAGGTGTCCCTGGAGAAACAACCTGTGTGGGCTCTTAGGGGCTGCACTAGGCTTGGGTGCGCACTTGTAGCTAGGGACGCCCTAGTCACGTGGGGACTTGACGAAATCAATAAGCCGGTCAAGTATCCAGTCTCCCAACCACGTCAAGTCCGCCAACAGAAGCAACAGAACCATCAATCTTGAGCTTCCGGTCTCGCACCCTCTCCGAGACTTAGCAAACGAAGCCGTATGATGGTCTGGGCCTTCTTCGGCAATCCAGCTCTTCGGCGGTACAGATTTGCGGACTCCAGATTCCAGCATCCTACGAACCAAGACCTCGGTTACGGCCATCCTAGCCCTTGCAGCCATCCAGCATATCGGCGACAGCTCAGATTCTGATCCACGTGGATGGTCAATGTACCTCGTAATGGCCGGAGAAACACACCTGGGGAAAATGACATCTAGATAGTCAACGCAGTGTTGGCATGACTTCGTGGGAACGTGGGAAGCAGGCCACCACACATCAGGGGAAGCAATCAATATACATTTTCACATACTCAGCGACTATGCCAGGCCAAGATGTTGCTCACCCCAGCCTTGTACCTCGGTCATATTGACCACTATTTGAGAGGGGGCGCCATAAATACTTGTCTCCCACTATCTTCGAAATTGCTTTTTCCTTCGAGGCATCGACATTGTGGACTCCTTTTCCCAGCTCCAACTGTGGTGTGACTGGCCCATTTGATTTGGAATTTGAACCTGGAATCCGATGCTGCCCCCGTGGGTTGCGGCTTTGACGCCGTCAGAGCCCCAGGGGTCAAGTTCCCTGGCCGGCGAACGAGCAAAGTCCACTATTGACACTGATCAAATCGCACGATTCTTCTATCCGGAGGGTTATCTGGAAAGACAAGAGCGGCTCCTCCAAATCCTCGAGACTGATCCAGCTTTCGAAAAGACGAGCAATTACTACGACGGCCGGACGGAGCGATGGAAAAAGGCCCTTGTCAGAGCAAAGCGCATTGCTGCCCTCCAAGTCCAACATAAATGGACCGATGATGAGTTGTGGGCAGCCCTTGAGCTGTTAGGCGAAGCGGTCCCTTACGCTCTGCACTGGGGCATGTTCATCGTAAGCCTCACCACCCTGAGGCTGTGAGTGAAGCCTTGTCATGGCTGCAGCATTCTGCTCTTGGCCGTTTTCTCATTTCTACTGGTGTCGAGGCTGATATGATGATGACACTAAATCTTTGGGTTTTTTTCAGACGACTTTGCGAGACCAAGGTACTCCGGAGCAACATGACTTATTCCTCCAAAAAGCCCTGAACTTTGAAATCATCGGCTGCTATGCACAGACCGAATTGGGCCACGGATCCAATGTCCAAGGGTTAGAGACACGGGCGACGTGGTGCCCTCACGACAAAACGTTTGTCTTGAACTCACCCTTTCTGACGGCATCAAAATGGTGGATTGGCACGCTGGGCCGCACGGCAAACTATGCAGTGGTCATGGCGCAATTGGTCATCGAAGGACGTTCTTACGGGCCTCATCCATTTATATGCCCTTTGCGAGAGCTGACGTCGCACCAGCCTCTGGAGGGTGTCTACGTGGGAGATATAGGACCAAAGATGGGCTACAAGTAAATCAACTCGATGGAGTGCTGCCTTTCTGACAAACCACTGACACCTCATAGCACGATGGACAACGGGTTCTTACTCCTGCACAATGTCAAGATTCCCCATGTCAACATGTTGGCCAGGTACTCAACCCCCCGCTCCCCTGGTGCACTCCTCCACACCATGATCGTCGGTCGTTGACGCCGTCTGCTTGCAGGTTCTCGAGGGTCGACCCAGACACAAGCAGATATATCAAGCCGGCAGCCCCAGGGTTGGTGTATGGCACAGTCACGTATGCACGCATGAGAGTGGCTGCGGACGCAGCCCGGGCTTTGGCAAGGGGCGCCACCATCGCTGTCCGTTACTCTGCCGTCCGACGACAGTTTCGAGCTCGCGATCCTCAGACCTCTCAACCCCTCCCACAAGGGCCGGAGATGCAGGTTCTCGACTATACCACTGTGCACGCACGTCTCTTGCCTCTGGTCGCGGCAACTTTTGCCCTTCAATTTACCGGGACCGCCATGCAAACCCTCTATCGACTGGCCAAAGAGTCATTGCCAGGCCAAGGGGGGAGTTTGTCGGAGACTCCGAAGGAAAAGGATCTTTTTGCCGAAATGCACAGTACGTCGTGTGTACTTAAGGTGTTTGCGAGCATCACGGCGGCAGAAGGCTTGGAAACTGCCCGGAGAGCCTGTGGTGGTCATGGATACTCGCTGTTCAGTGGCATTGGTTCTTGGTACGCCGAGTATCTGCCAACCATGACCTTCGATGGCGACAACTACATCCTGTCTTCACAGGGCTCCCGCTATGTGGGTTTTCCCATCCGTGTGTTCAAAGTCTGTTGGTAAAAACACTGACGCCAGAGCCATTAAATTAGCTGATCAATGCTGCCCGATCTGTCCTGCGCGGCAACGCCCTTCCAGGGTTTACCGTGGACAATCTCCGTGCCTTTCGTCGTCTGGGGGGAGCGACCGTCAATTACGATCTCGACAGCGACCAGGACATTGTCTCGATATTCGGACGGAGAGCCGCATTCTATACCTTCCAGATTCTGGAACAAATTGACGAGAAGCATACTACCCACAACGAGCTGCTCCCCGATTACTGGAGACTGTGTCGCGCCCACGCCGAGTTCCTGGCCGTCCATCACTTCTCCGTCGAGCTCAAGAACCCGCTGAAGAACCCACGGACTAACAACCAGCTGGACCCCCAGTCCGCTAGCGTGCTATGGGACCTGTTCCGTCTCTTCGCGACCGACCTGATCACCAAGGAACCCCAGGGATTCTACGTCTCCGGGGCCCTCACGGTCGCACAAGTAGAGGATCTGTCTCGCAACAACCTGCCCCTTTTGCTGAAACGCATCCGCCCACACGCCGTCCGTCTGGTGGATTCGTGGAAACTTCCCGACTGGCTGCTCGACAGTTCTCTGGGCCGGTACGACGGTCAGGTCTACCCCGATCTGTTCCGTCGAGCCAGCGAGCTCAACCCGTTGAACAAGGTCGACATCAACCCTTATCCGTCCACGGACCGGAATCGAGACCGCCCTCCCGTTGAAGCTGAGCCCACGCAGAAGCATTCTAGAGGGAAATTATAAAGCAGAGATGGCGAGGGGGTAGCGTACCACCGGTAGTAGTATATCAAACATTTTTTCATGGTCCAGTGAACGAAATAGATTGAATAGATGTATTTGTCTTTGTAGCGAGACTGTCTTTCTCAGGCTTCAACCGAGACACCGTCCCTTATCCCGAGACAATACTCTTTGAGACTGCTGAACAAGAAGAGCAATCCACCTTTCTCTCCACCCTCACTCACATTGGGTTCTGTTCTTCACTATCCTCGTGCCTGGCTCGACACAGCCTGCCACATTCAGCCACCACCTCGAAGGCGTCACTCCCGACACACGTGGGACAGTAAAACAGGCCGTGCGGATCGTATTTCCTCTTGATGGCCAACAACCTGGCGTAGTGGTGGCCGGGGCCGTAGAAATCGGCCTTCCAGTCCGGGTCGAATCGGTCGGCTTCGTTCATGTACGCGCCCGTGTGGGGTGCCAGCTTCTTCATGGCGGGGACCTTGACGGTCGTGATGTCGCGTTGCTTCTCGTCCAGTTCTGCTTGCGGGGCGTTTGGAGACGACGGGACACGGGCCACGATGTTGCTAAAGTACGATGTGCGCCAGGCTGGGGTGACGCCCGAGAAAGGGTCAGAGGCGTCCCGAAACACCTGCCCACCGCCGACGAGTTCAAGGTTGTTGGTCGTCAACTGCTCGGGCGTGCCGGCGATGGTATCAATCATATTGCGCAGGGCGCTCGAGTTCTGCGTCACTGACGCGCGGTCAAATAGTCTGCTTCCAGCCCCGTACGCAGGCAGACCGACGGGCGGTTCGACACCGGATTCGACGCGGTAGTATGTCCAGTAGTCTGGATACGAGGCATAACTCTCGGAGATGAAGACGCTGGTCAGGTTCAAAGGGCCCAGTCTTGATCGGGTCACGTCGAAGGCCGTCTGAGCTTGCTCAACGGTGGCGTTAAAGATGCGGAAGCCGTGGACGTAACCAGTGGTCACATTGGCGAAGATGGGTGCTGGGCTGTTGATCGACCACTGGCCATAGCCTGCATAGCCTGCGTCGTTGAGATCGGGATAGCAGGAGTATAAGATAGCAACAGCGTCCAGAAGTCCAGAGGTGTTTGCGCTCAAGGGGAACATGGCCAGATGTTGAACTGTGACATCGACCATTGGGTAGGCTTTGATCGTGCTCGACACCACGATGCCATACGTGCCGCCGCCACCACCGCGAAGGGCAAAGTAGAGATCGCTGTGTTGGCACGCATTGGCTGTTACGAGGGTCCCGTCAGCAAGCACAACCTCCAGCTCCAACACTTGATCTGCACCGAGACCGTAATCTCGGGATGCAGGCCCGTGACCACCACCCTGCATCCAACCTCCAATGGCACCGACGGACGGGGTACCACCATTGACGATAACAACATTGTGCTTCTGTGCTTCTGCGCCCACATCTCCCCACGTGTAACCCCCTGCGATCTTGAACGCACTTCCAGTCCATTTGCTTGCGGTACAACGAGTAGAAGGCTTGAACGTGTCCTGGAAAGAAATGCCGCTACGAAGATGGCGAATCCAGATTTCCAGGCCATTGGTGCCTTCAGAGCGCCCAAGCTGATCATGGCCGGTGCTTTTCACCACCAGACGGATGTTGAAGAGCCTGGAGAAGACGACTGCCAAAGCGACGTGTCTTATGTCGGTACAATTGACTGCATAATTCGGGCTCACTCCCAGCGCGCAGGTT